CGATTGAAAAAAAAATCTTCAAAGCTTCTTTTGAAATCATACAACAACGAGGTAGACATTTATCATACATCAATATGTCGGTCTTCTGTTAGAAAAATGTTGAACGTGTTTCCTCTAGCCTTAGAAGAACACTTCAAAAATAACAATGTCATATTAATCAGTGATAATTTGGCATTCTCAGTTGTTGATGTTCGCTTTCAGAATTTCTCATTTATTTTCTGATTTATGGCGCTATATTTTCCCCTTTACCGAAAAATATAATTTATAGGTACAATTGCTTAACATCTATGAAAAAAAGAAAAATATCTAAGATTATCTAATGCAAAACAAACTAAAATGTGTTGAAAGACCGTTTCCGTGTACTGTTTAAGAATATGTATGTCTAATATAATAAATGATTTTTAACCCTACACTTCAGTGTAAAATACTTTTGAAATAAATGTTGTTGTTTTTTTTAAATAAAACAGCGATCCGTAAATGGTTTTGTATTTGAATCTGTTGAAGGAACTGATATATGTTTAAGTGAATGAATTGATTAAATACGTCACAAAGAAAAAACGAAACGCTTTTTTAATTTCTTCGTAGTTGATTTATTAATAGAACTCCCGAAATAAATTGTATTTGTTTAATTGTTTCAATAATATATATATGTTTTGGTCATGATTGTAATATGTTTTTTTAATTGCACTCTTTTATTTTTAGTTTGAAATGCAATTTATGATATTCACACGGATTCTGTAAAATAATCTACAAAGCTTCTGAAATAATACAACAACGAGGTAGACATGTATTTTTTTCTTACGTGAGTTTAAACATTTTAATCGAGTTGTGTGCTGCTTGCTGTATTACCGAATAATGACATCAAAGTCACGTAGTAACTTCATAGTTTGCTTAATATTAAATGGAATAGAAATATACAATCCCTGGTGACAACTGAAAACATTTATATTTGTCTTAATTCTAAATTGTGAAAAACGTGATTTTTTTTTTAAAAAAGGTGTTTAATTACAAATCTATATTAAATTTCATTGTAAATTACCCGATGATTTCTTCGCATGCTATCTTCCATATTTCTGACCTATCTTACTCTTGGATGTTATAATGTTTGTAAATATTTCACTTATTTTCTCCAGAGTTTTGCTCCTGATTTACAATTTTATTAATGATATTTAAGGATAAGTTAACTTGAACTGCATACTTATAGCTATCATTAAGACATGCCTTAAATAGTTTTCAAATGACCATCATTTTACATGTCTTTATAGTTCTTATAATATTCACAATATAGAGACAAGAATCAATAGCAGACTGCAAAATCTTCTATCGAAAAAGGGAGACCAATATATAATAGACCACAGTCCATTCGCAAATAATGACACCTGACGGTAATATTCTTAAATGTACAAAGCAGAGGCATGTGAGCTATTCATCACGTTTCAAGCTCAAATCTCTTAAACGTTTGGAGTTTTAGCCTGGGCAAAATAAATACAAATAAAAAATAAGCTATAAAAAGGACAAAGGGCAATGACTAAAAATAATGAAAGGTAAATTAATAAAAAATAATAATAATCAAGAATGGCAGTTTCCCTCAATAATATCTTCCAACCTCTCGACGTTTCATGTGGATATCTTATGGTATGAAATTTATATTGATAATTTTATTTACAAGAAACAAACAAAGACAAATAAAGAGTAATTAACCAAAAACATTACGAAAGGTGTGTTTTCTTACATGGTCATTGCATTCCTCCTCTTCCTCTTCGTTCTCAATGATATTTTTTTTGCATCTATGAAGTTTCCACTGGATATCTCAAATGCGTTTTGAGTTGTGGTGGTGTTGTTAGCTTAACTACCGGATAATGGTAAAAAAAAAAACTCCGGATAAAGTATGATTCATCGGAACCATTAATCATAACAAAATAACATGACATTGCAGAGTTGGTTTTATTGAGTCTATACATGAGGGATAATGAAAAAGTGTAACAACCCTCACGGCCACTAGCACCGGATTGAGCGGTTCCCAAATTTCAGCACCTAAATTGTTGGAATCGTTGATCCCAAAGGACCAGAAAATGTAACAACACCGAAGTGAAGTACATTGAATTAAGCAACATTGAATTTACCAGAGCAGAGATCTGCCATCCCAAAATTTTGAGTGCCACTCCGAACCAAAAGTATGGAAGGAAAGGAAAAACGAACGTAGCTGACTAATATTCCATGAATACTCGTATTAACTCCCAACATTAAACATTTACCAGCATTCACTTAAAGGTCCTTAAAGAGCAAACCATGTATATGGCGGGGAAAAAAACAATAAAATACCTAAACCAAGATAGCAGTCCTTAATTTTATTTATCATTTTGTTCTGCGTGTTAAATATTGACTTGATCGTGTTTCTGTTTCCTTGTAGGAATTGACGTTTGGATATACAAATGTAGATCTATATTTTTGTAAAACAAACGTTTGAAATAGCATGCATGTAGGTGGAACTAAGAAAGAATCTATTCCTTTAACTTTACTTTTCATACAAAGAAACAAATCAGTAATTCTAACTGTTAAATTCATATAAGTCACAAGTTTTTATATATGAGAAATCAGGCAGTTAACATTTCAACCGCATAGAAAATGAAACTTTATCATCAGCATACCGCGCAATAGTGATATTCAGCCTGAATGGTGGGAAAGTACCTGCAACAAGTTAAAAAGCGAAAAGTATAAATGCTTACGAACATTTCGGTACGCTAGCGCATCAGTCGACTTCGAACATTATGTTGCGAAACGAAATGAATTTAAAAATACCTGCAAAATGAAACGAAAACAATTCGAAAAGGAAAGACGCGAAAACCTTATTGCGAGTAGTAACGATCCAAAACAATTCTGGAAAACACTGAAAAGGGCAAAACCGATAATAAAGAGTGTTACGAATTATATAAACGGGGACGAATGGTTGGATGTTTCAAAATTCAAAATTTTACTATTTCATGTTTAAATGTTGAATTCTGCTTAAGCCGGTGCTAGGGGGCGTGGACGGTAACTTGCACTTTCCAGTACCGTCCATGAACAGGCTCAATCAAACCGAGCCTGCAACATTTTCAATTTTGCCGTGTTGGGCTTTCTTTAGGGATTCTGTATTTATCTATTTTGCTTATTTCGCAATGTATTCACAACACAAGATAGCGCTGATATATTAAGGACTTCAAGCCCACCACAAATCAATAATCTTGTTGAGGAGAGAGATGCGAGTTACTTAAATACTACAATTACAAAAGAGGAAATTATGTTAAGCATTTCTTCATTGAAATCTAAAAGCGCTCCTGGAGTAGATGGCATATGTTGCGAAATTTTTAAAAGCACAGCCAATATAGTGGCAGAACATTTGGTTGGCTTATTCAATGAAATTTTCGATAGTGGACATTTTCCTAATTCATGGAGCGAAAACATAATTTCACCAATTCACTAAAAAAGATCACTGTACGACCCTAATAATTATCGCGCTATAGCCCTCTCAAATTGCATAAGCAAGATATTTGTAAATATTTTGTCAAAAAGACTAAAAACATGGTGTGACGATAATGACGTCATTGATGAATCACAGGCAGGATTTCGAAAAGGGTATTCAACCATTGACAACTTTTTTAATCTACAGTCTATTATCCAAAAGTATCTATCAGTTAAAAGGGATAGAATCTACGTGTTTTACGTAGATTTCCGTAAAGCTTTCGACAGCTGTCCACATCATCTGTTATTGTCTTGTTTACGAAGATATGGAGTTAATGGTAAATTTATGACTATCTTTCAATCCATATACGAAAAACTTAAATACTGTGTTAAAGTGAATTCTGTCCAAGGTGAAGGTAACTCGCAACAAAATGGTGGACTCACTGACTTCTTTAATTGTGACATTGGAACCAAACAGGGCTGCTCTACGACTCCGAAAATATTTGCAATGTACGTCAATGATCTCGTAAAATATATGAGATCCGGTTCTACTCATGGAATATTTCTATCCGAAGATACAGGCCAGTTGTACGCTCTTCTTTTTGCCGATGACGTTTCAACATTCGCAGATACAGCTATAAACTTACAAAATTCTGGAAACAAAGTGATCCCTCGGAAGCATTAATCACAACAAAATAACATAAGAATTGCAGACTCGGTTTGATTGAGTCTGTACATGAGGGATACTGACTATTGCAGACTCGGTTTGATTGAGTCTGTACATGAGGGATACTGACTAGGTGCAACATCCCTCACGCCCCCTAGCACCGGCTTGAGCGGTACTCAATTCTCAACACTTTATAGTGTTGGCATCAATGATCCCGAAGGACCAGAAAATATAACAACACTGAAGTGAAGTACGGGGCAACTTTTTACGGCTGCCACACGGCACTTGACACCTGCTGTTGTGAAGTACAAAATTCTGGAAACAAAGTGATCCCTCGGAAGCATTAATCACAACAAAATAACATAAGAATTGAAAGACATATAAATACCATAGAAACGTTTTGCAATAATAGTGGACTACAATTAAACACAGATAAATCTAAAGTCATGGTTTTTCGAAACGGTGGCCCATTGCGTAACTACGAACGCTGGTACTTTAATGGCATCAAAATTAGAAGTGGTATCATACTATAAATATTTGGGACTATATTTCACTCCTAAATTGTGTTGGTCTCTCACGCGAACAACTTTTGCCAAACAAGCTTCTAAAGCAGTGTATTGTATTCTGAGTCAGCAACGATACTGGTACCTTCAGCCCTAAAGACGCTTTTAAATTATTTGACACGATAGTCCGACCGATTTTGTGTTATGGGGTAGAAATTTGGGGCTATCAGTATTCAGCCATTATTAAGAAAGTGCACACAGACTTTTGCAGACGTATTTGTGGTCTAAACCAGAATGTTGCTAACTTTTTCCCGCTCCACGAATGTGGCAGGGCTCCAATTTCAGTACATTATATAACCAAATGTGTAAAATACTGGACTAAACTATTACAAATGCCAAATGAGCGTTATCCAAGACAATGTTATTTAATGCTACGCAGACTAGACGAGGCCGATAGGAAAACATGGGTAACCTGTATTAAGGATGTTTTGTTTGAATATGGGTTTGGATATGCGTGGATTGCTCAAGAAATTGGAAATCATACAAACTTTATGGCATTACTGGTTGATAGAGTCAACGATCGAGCTACGCTAAATATCCTCTCGCAAGAAGAAAACTCACCCAAAGCCAATTATTATAAGCACTTTAAATCACATCTAGATACAGAGAGATATCTGTCAATACATCTGCCATTTAAACTGAAAAGACAATTGGCGAACTTTAGATGCTCTGGTCACAATTTAATGATTGAAAAAGGACGCCACCAAAATATTGACCGACAATTCAGATATTGTCCATTTTGTCTAAATAACCATGCTCATTATGTTGAGGATGAGTATCACATGTTGCTCGCTCGTATGTAAATTATATGATGAACTGAGAACACAATGTTTTATTCAAACTTGGCTTAACTGTGAACCAAACATTGACTATTTTTATTCAATTATGTCATGTGACGATGAATTGGGCATTTTCGCTCTTGCAAACTATATATACAAAGCTTTGGAAACTAGAAATATGTTTATTAAAATTGTTGGATTATCCTTATTTAACTAACTGGAAACCGATAATATGATCTAGATGATGTTAAATGCATAACAAATTTATACAGTGAACAGTATTTAAAGAACACGAATAAGTTGTTCCTTTGCCGTGCTTTAAAACACATTCTTAAATTCAGCATTGTTAATGTTGATAATAATATTATTGTTACTCACTTATTCGTAAATAATTACCGCTTATGTATTGATCACGAATAATATTTTTTGTATATGAATTATATATTGTTGATGCATCATTTATTTTATAAATAATGAACTATTATAAAAAAATGTACAATATTATGTGTATCGTGGGCCGGAGGCCTTTAACTACAATAAAACGTATGTTATGTTATGTTATGTTATGTTATGTTATGTAATACTAAAGCTTGATAAATTTATGAAGCGAATACCGATTTAACATTTATTTTGTTCTATACAACATCAATAAAAGGTGACATTTATGTCATAGACTTTATAACTTTCCCATATGCTTTATTTTATGGTTGCCCTGTGCCCTGCTTGGTTCTTTACTTGTGAAGTAGGCTTGTGTTTCGGGATGCGTCCTGTCAACGTCACCATGTTAATATTTGGTTTGATTATGTTAGGAAACTGCATTCGTTCGCTCATTCATTCATATAAATAATGGACTGTGCAACTGTTTGTTATTTATTGAGATTTAATGTCGTGGAACCAGGTTAAAAATTATAGCACGCGTAAAACGCATCGATGTAAGAGCTGTTGTATTGCACTGTTATAAAACTTTTGGTTTGTTTTTCAATCTATCTAATCAATCTTTTTGTTGATTTTAAAAAAACTAGGAAGCAAGTTCGTTTTGAAGAAACTTATCTCTTAAAGTTTTGTATTTTTCTTTTGAGATGATTTGGATAGTGCTGTGCGGACATGGTTCCGACAGCCAAAGCGAGGTCACGTATGTGCTGTTTTATTTTGGTTAGATATGGTAATGGGACTGGTGCCTTTAATGTCTTACATACTATGTTTATGCACAAAGTTGATGTTTTATCGTTGATCATTTGCTTATCAAAAGTTATTATATCGTTTAATCGGGATATAATTAAATAATGTTAAACAATTATGAGCAACACAGTCTATATATAAATAAGACACATGGTGTCGGATTCTTGGCACACAGCTACATTGACTGAAGCGTACTCGTAATGAAATGTTTGGGTCGTAACGCGACCTCTTTAATTTCAACTACTGCGCAGATCTTAACGGACATTCGGAAAACCTCGCTTGTCTTCTTTTGTAGTTTTGTTATTATAGTGTTTAACTAAAGTAGGACGTTCATTTGTTTAAATTACTGGCTATAATTGCTTTGTTTTGGCTAGGTCCACAAGACAAGTTTTGTTAAACTACTTTTAAAACAAACAAGAATAAACTGGCTTAGCCTTTTTACATCATATGTATTTACAAAACACATATTGAGATATTTAATAAGATACTACACATAATTTCTATCCAATTTCCCCCAAAGTCATGCTTCTTAATTAAGGACAATTTTTGTGCACAATAGATTGAATGAATCGGCTTATTAATGTCGTTGACGAGGATATCAATTTTGAATTTGTATTATATTTTTGTTGAAATATACTGTAGATATGATTAAAACTCTAGAATGCTGAGCTCCAACCGACTTGTGGTAAGAATTAAACTGTTAAAATTCACAAAACAAAATACATTATAGGAAAAGTAATGATGCCAATATTGACTAAGGAAAGGCAATTGCATTTGAATTGACATAACCAGCACCGAGCAGTGAGTGAAGTTTCTTGCTCAAGAAAACAACGGCTCTCACCAGATGGGGTCTGAAAACACACGGACAACGACAGTAATATTACTAGTCTGACGCTTAACCACATGCCTCCTCCTCTTTTGGGTACCTCTACGTGGTGAGGAGGAGTAACATGTGTCCGTTATGGGGGTGCGCTGATGTGCGCCTGTATGACGGACATATGGCCAACACCCAGACTGCCTGTTTGCCGTGGGCAGCGTCCCGTAACCTAGAAAGGAGGGTCCTGGTAGTTGAAGGATACCCAGGGATCTCCAGTACTCCTAACACACTGCTTTGGCCTCTGCTTTAGGGTAGACGGGTGACCAAGTGAGCCCGGCTTTGGTCAATCGGCTGGTCATGCCTTGCCCTTGGATATATATTTCTTAAAAACTTGAAAATTTCATTGAACTTACACGGTCCCGAAATGAATACAATCCAATTCACACAAATTATTTAAAAAAAAAATCTGAGTTTAAATTTTTATTCCTACTTGTGTTTCTAGTATACCTTTAATTCCTACTGAAACTGCTATGATGGGTGCCGTTATGTTAAAACAATATTTCATATATGCATTATAAATACAGTATAACATATCCAAGAAGGCGGTGGCTAATGGGCTAATTGTGTAGGTTGTAAATATTTGCAATTTATGCGAGTATATCTCTCTGGTATCCTTGATGTGCGGAGACTGGATATCCGTCTCCATCGCACATCCCCATGTTGGAGTCCGAGGTGGCTGGGGAACCCGGGAGACGAATTTTAATACCTTTAATCATGGATATACAAACAAAAAAACGAAAATCGCAAGATGATTCAAGTGGCAACATTTCATTTGATGGAAGTTTTCCCCGTTTTCTTATAATCAAATCAAACGGATCCAAATCACTTACTGAACTTAGCCCCTTCATTATAGAAAAACAACTTTCGGCTTTAATTGGAACACCTAAATCTGTCAAGAAACTCCGCAATGGAGGACTCTTGATAGAGGTAGAGCGGAAACAACAATCGGACATTATTCTGAAATGTACCAGCTTTTTTAACATTGACATAACTGCCACACCACACCAGTCTCTAAACTCCAGCAAGGGCGTCATCAGATGTTCTGACCTTGCTGGAATGCTAGAAGCAGATATTGCTGAAGAGTTAAAATCACAGCAGGTGTCAAATGTCAAGCGCATTCAGTCTACAAGAGATGGTAAACGACTGCCAACGAATAGCCTTATTCTAACATTCTCCACACCCATTCTCCCATCATCGATTCGAGTAGGTTACCTCAACGTTCGCGTTGCGGTTTACATTCCAAATCAAATGCAATGTTACAAATGATTCAAATTTGGTCACCAGGAATCAAATTGCCTAAGGCAGACTATTTGCCACAGATGCAGCTCAAACCATGACAAAAATGAGACTTATAACGTTTCTGTTAAATGTGCAAACTATGGAGGAGAGGATTACGCCACCTCCCGGTCATGCCCCTTGTGGTTAAAGGAGAAAGAAATTCTTCGTCAGAAGTATACGCAAATATTTCCATTCAAGATGCACGAAAGCTTGTTGATTCACAAGGACCAAAACAACTGTCGTATTCAGCTGCAGTTACAAAGTCTGTTAAGATGGTTGACTCTGCAGTACAGGTCAACTTATGTCAATGCCCCCCAATTAAGTTACCATTACCTACAAAGCATACAGCTTCACAAAGTAAGCAGTCTACCTCTGTGCAGACTCAGTCACCATTAAAGTCTTCTCCAAAGAAGCAAACCGCAAACATTCAAATAGCATCTTCTGAGAAAGTTATTCAAAAACAATCGCCTAAAGAGCGAATTGTCATCACAGATCGGTTGAAAAAAGCAATGCGGAACCCGATCAACACAGAAAATCGGTTCGATCCACTTCACGACACCCAATTGATGGAGGATGAGGATCTTTACCTCTCCCCTCCTCCAACTCCGAATAGCAGAAGTCCAATAAAGTTTCCTAAATGATATAAATATTCTTTAAAATGGATAATAGAAGTCATTCTATCCTACAATGGAATTGCCGAGGTCTTAAGTCAAATTATAATGATCTACTTTTACTATTATCAAATTTCTCTCCAAATGTATTATGTCTTCAGGAGACTATGTTATCTCCTAAAGATAATATCTCTATAAAAGATTATACACTTTATAATTATATATGCACTAGTAACGCCAGAACATCAGGTGGTACAAGCATTGCTATCGCAAATTGCATTCCTCAAAAAGAATTAAAACTAAACACAAGATTACAAGCTTTAGCTGTGCAGGTGACCTTACATCGACCACTAACAATTTGTTCTTTGTACCTTCCTCCAAATTTAACGGTAACAAGTGATGAACTTGAAAGTATTGTTCGGCAATTACCATCGCCTTTCCTTTTGTTAGGCGACTTTAATGCTCACAATCCTATGTGGGGCAGTACATCTACAAATAATAAGGGTAACATAACTGAAAAATTGATAGATAACTTTCAGCTTTGTTTATTAAACAATCGGTCACCTACATATTTACATCCAGCTACAGGTACGTTTTCTTGCATCGACCTCTCGATTGTCCACTCTGCTATATACTTGGACTTCGATTGGAAAGTTTTAGATGACCAGTACGGCAGTGATCATTATCCATTGTTACTTACATCAAATGACTCTATACCAGATGAAGGACGTAAAATTTTTAAATTTAAGAAAGCAGATTGGGAAACATTTACTAGGCTCTGTTCTATTGATCTAACAAAAAATGAATTTGATTTCACCTCTGATGATATAGCTGAAACTTTCTCTTCAGCATTACATACGATTGCTTGCAAAGTTATTCCATTACAAAAAAATAATAAAAGTAACAAAATCAAAAAACCATGGTTTAACGATGAATGTAAAAAAGCCGTTCGTATACGTAAAGCTTCACTCAAAAAGTTTGAACATAGCCCTACAACAGAAAACCTTGAAAATTATAGAATATTTAGAGCCAAAGCTAGAAGATCAGTGCGTCAATCTAAACGCCAATCATGGCAATCTTATGTTTCAAATATTAACTCAAATACTCCTATTAGGAAAGTCTGGGATGCAGTACGAAAAATAAGTGGTAAGTATAAAAAGAGTCCAACTGTTCATTTAAAAACTGGTGATGGCCAATATGCCAAAACAAAAACAGATATTGCAGAAACTTTGGCTAAAACGTTTGAAAAGAACTCTTCTTCAAGCAATTATACAAATACATTTCAACAACATAAATGTAAAGCTGAGAAAGAGTATATTAAGTTTACTTCAACAAACGACGAAGACTATAATTCCCTTTTCTCTATTGGTGACTTAATTTATTCAATAAAAACTGCAAAAGATAGTGCTGCAGGCCCGGACGAAATTTACTACCAGTTTCTTAAACATTTACCACCCCAATCCTTGGACTTGCTTCTTGAATTTTTTAACAAAATTTGGGTATCTGGTGAATTTCCCAACACTTGGAAGAATGCGTTGATTATTCCTATCCCTAAACCTGGAAAAGATTCAACTGACCCTACAAATTATCGTCCAATTTCACTTACAAGTTGCCTCTGCAAAACATTCGAGAGAATGATAAATAATCGGTTAGTTTGGTATCTAGAAAATCATGGAATTATCACTAATTTTCAGTCAGGTTTTCGTAAACAGCGAAGTACAAACGATCATCTTGTACGACTTGAGACTTTTATTAGAGAAGCCTTTGTAAATAAACAACACCTGGTATCAATTTTCTTTGATCTTGAGAAGGCTTATGACACTACTTGGAAATATGGTATCCTAAAAGATCTGAAGGATGCTGGACTTAATGGCAGACTTCCTCTTTTCATTTCTGGATTTTTAAACGATAGGCACTTTAAAGTAAGACTTGGTTCAACTTTTTCTCAAGACCACCAACAAGAACAAGGTGTTCCTCAAGGAAGCATACTTTCTGTTACACTTTTTGGCCTTAAAATAAACAATATTGCTAGCGCTCTTACACCAGGCATAGATTGTTCTCTATATGTATACGATTTTCTTATCTGCTATCGATCAAAAAGTATGAGAACAATTGAACGGCAACTTCAACAAAATTTAGATAAAATTCAGAAGTGGGCAATAGAAAATGGGTTTAAATTTTCAAAGTCAAAAACTCAATGTGTTCATTTCTGCCGATTGCGAAAACAACATAATGACCCTGAACTTTACATATCTGGTTCTAAAATTCCAGTAGTTGATGAAGCTAAGTTTCTAGGAATTATATTTGATAAAAAACTTTCTTTTATACCGCATATTAAACATTTGAAAACTAAATGCCTAAAAGCTTTAAATTTACTTAAGGTTTTATCAAGTACAAATTGGGGATCAAATTCTTCCACATTACTGAAACTATACAGAAGTCTTATCCGATCAAAATTAGACTATGGTTCTGTAGTATATGGGTCTGCAAGAAAATCATATCTTCAAATGCTAGATACCATACATCACCAGGGTTTACGTTTAGCTTTAGGTGCTTTTCGCACTTCACCTGTAGAAAGTCTATATGCGGAAGCTGGGGAACCATCGCTTTATCTTCGTCGTAAAAAGCTATCACTTCAATATGCAACTAGAATTTCATCTAATAGGAAAAATCCAGCTAAAAATATTATTTTCAAACCAAGTTATACTGAAAAATTTGTTAACAAACCAAAGGAAATTAAACCATTAGGCCTTCGTTTAAAAGATGATTTAGATAAACTTAAAATTAATCCAGACAGTATCCTTCAAAATGACGATGAGGATGTTCCACCTTGGACTTATAATTCCCCGGAAATAAATATTAACCTTTCAAATATAAAAAAGGCATCAAATTCACCTGAATATTTCAAAGAGAAGTTTCTAGCAATTAAGGAAGAACATGAAGATTTTATACATATTTATACGGACGGTTCAAAAGAAGGTTGCAAAGAAGGTGCGGCTGTGTTTGAAAATAATTTTACATCTAGTATGAGGTTACCAGATAATGCATCAATTTTTACTGCTGAAGCAAAAGCTATTGATTTAGCATTGTCATACATAGCACAGCATACCCACGATAAATTTGTGATATTTTCTGACTCGCTTTCTGTTTTAATATCCATTAAAAATAAAAAATCTGACAATATCATGGTAAAGAAACTTCTTTTACGATTTCATGATATACTAAAATCAAAATATGTTAAATTATATTGGATGCCAAGCCATGTAGGAATACGAGGAAATGAAAAAGTAGATGCTTTAGCTAAACAATCATTAAATTTTCGAAACACTGACTTATTGTTACCTGCTTGTGATTTTAGACCAGCTATAAATAAACTCGTATCATCTGAATGGAAAGCAAATTGGGACAATGCCGTTTTAATAAACTTCACGATATAAACCCATCTCTTGATATGTCACCATCTCTATCTCTGTCAAACCGCCGTGATCAAACAGTTCTTCTTCGATGCCGAATTGGACACACTAAAATTACCCACTCTTATCTCCTCACAAATGACAATGCCCCTTTCTGTGTAGGTTGTAATGAAAATTTTACTGTCAAGCATTTTCTTCTTGAATGTCATGATTTTTCACAGGCCCGTAATAGATTTTATTCTGTAAATTCACTCAAAGAACTTTTTAATACAATTCCATCAAAGAACATAATTGATTATTTAAAAGAGATAAATTTGTATTCTAGGATCTAATTTGCTCATTTCTATTGTCATTTACAATGTTTTGCATAATATTTTAAGCCTATTATAGCATTCGGCACGATATGGCCAGTTATGTGTTGACGTGCCGTAAAAATCCAAACAAACAAACCACATGCCTACATTATACCAATTTCATTACCCTCCTCATTGACTTGACTACAGAGATAGTTTTTTAAGTTTTTCACACAAAAGAGTACAGGTAGTTTTATGTTAGTCCAATGTTATTTACAGATAAATAACGTTTTTATAATAGTGCCTAGTGGGCTCGTCGACAGGACTGAGATAATATTTATGGTATGCCATTTCTACATTCTCAATTGTGTTCAGTCCAACTCGCGATCGGAAGTATTGTCGTTATGAAATGCCCTAGAGTATAGTTTATCGGAAGTTTTACGATTTACTTTATTTGTATGCTTATTGTATGCTTATTTTATTCTCTTATTCATCAATATTATATTTCGTGAAAAGCTATGTGCGCAATTATTTTCAATGATTATTGTGATTTTATCATTTCTTGGGAAATAATGACCCTTCGCTGTTTAAATAAGTACATACGTAATAAACAAGACCACATATATTTGTTAAGGGATTAAGCTATCATTGCTTCTTATAATCAGATTTTGTTAAAATTCCTGTCTTTTGATATTTAAGTATAAATGCTGCACATGATCCACTTGTTAACTGAACTTATAGAAAGGGCACCGAAGGCCCTCCTGTATGAGCACAGGTGTATAATCTTATAAGGTTTTTGTCCAGCAGACATTGTCAAATAAAAATTGATTATAAGAGATGAAATATAATATAATACATGTATTTCTTGAGAGTAAATCAGGTATATATATTAATAGTATAGTATATACGTTAATATACGTACCTGAGTAAATCAAGTAAACTGTCAATCAGTGACACTAGTAGCTCGTACTCTTTAACAATTTAATAACAACCCAAAAAGACATCTGATAACTATCAGTTTAGATAATTAGCGATTGAAGATAATTTATATCGTGTTGACGTCATCAATCTGTTCTTAAATATAGTTCAATACATGTACGTATGAAATAGTTTAAATGGAATATTGAAGGTCGGCGATCACAAACTATATATTATTGTTTGATAATAGTTTGAGAGCTATTATTTCACTGATACTTAATTCCGTCTTTTCCAAACTCAGTAATTGACTAGGTTGTCTCCCATGTGGGTAGGTGTAGTTTACTTCCGGTTTAAGTTTTTACAGCGGTAAAATTAAAAGTGCTGTCATATATTGTGTTAAAAACATACAATGAGTTTGTCATCGTGTTTTACTTCCAAGGAAACAACATTTGAAGATATTCTAAACCTGAAAAAGGATGAAATTGTTTCTTATTTACGTAGTCATCAACAAAAAGTCAGTGGAAACAAACATGACATAGCCGTGCGTGCGCATAACTTTCATATGTCGACTTTTTCAAACAGAGATTGTAACAACAATTTTGATTAAAATGTGTATTGTGTTGTTAGACACTGGAAATATTCCAATTTTTGAAGATCTCAAGTGTGGTTGGTCAAGTGATAGTGCATTATTCGCAAAAGTAACTATTGTTGACATTGAAAATTATCTCATTAACAGCAGTCACAGGTCTTCAGATGCATTAAAAATGGAATGTTACAGGCAATATATTCGGGGCTTGAATTTCTACAAGGAAAAGTACATTCATAAAGTCATGATAAACAACATTTCTGAGACATGTAGACATTGCTATATTAAATCTAAATGTTTGCCATCAATGAAACAAGGTGTATATTTACAATGGATTTTGACTACTAAGGACACTCCATTCAACATTCTACAGGCCAACTGCTCTTGTCCAGCAGGGTATGTCTCATTTTTATATATAGTTACCACTGTTTCCTGTATTCTCTGAAAAAACAGGGGGGGGGGCATTAATTGCCAATTGACTCTTTTGACACAAAAAAAAAACACCGACCCTATTGAAGAACTGATATATGAAATGAGCCGTGTCACGACAAAACCAACATAGTGCGTTTGCGACTAGCATGGATCCAGACCAGTCTGCGCATCTGCGCAGTCTGATCAGGGTCCATGCTGTTCGCTTACCAATTCTATTACAAGTGAAGGAACTGACAGCGAACAGCATGGATCCTGATCAGCCTGCGCGGTTGCGCAGGCTGGTCTTAATCGATGCTGGTCGCAAACCCACTATGTTGGTTTTGTTGTGACGCGGCTCAAATATATATGATAAAAATTACAATATACATGTATATTATATATAATTGAAAATTATTATGCAATGATTAAATTTTAAGCCAGGTTTTTTATCCAGTTACTTTGGGAAAAGGACCCTGGTTAGAATTGGGAAAAACAAGCTATTTCACTGAAATTGGGAATTTTTCATTTCAAATGAAATATATACTAGATAAAGCTATTTGTCATGTAAATATTCAATAATATGTGTTTCCTTGAAAACAAACTACTTATTTATTCATTTCAGTATTTTAGATATATAGTTTCCTTGGATACCTAGTTACTAAATTCAGCAACTCACATCATGGGGAGCCGGCACAGTGTCTGGATAGCATATAAAATGCTTATTTGAACCTGTGAACACACTAAAAAAAAATTCACCATCAAATATTATTATATATATATATATATTTGATGGTGAATTTTTTTTTGTGAGTTCACAGGTTCAAATAAGCTTTTATATGCTATCCAGACGCTGTGCCGGCTCCCTATGACTCACATACTTTCAACACTTTTTTATTTTAGAGTAGTGTTTTATAATATTCATATTAACCGTAGCACTATGTCCCCGAATAGCTCAGTTTCCACAAAATATAATCTCTAAACCGCGGTTCAATTGGGAATTTTTTTTGGCAATTTGGAAAAAACTATGCTTAATTGCATTGGGAATGAGTCTGATTTTTGGCCCTACTGTACAGAAAGGCTGAAAAAAACCCTGTTAGCACATAATAAATAACGTGGAATTAATAAAATAAGTTTTTCAATAGTTTTACACTTCCACTATATTTTTAGATCAATAGCTCTGTTTAACTTAATAAATTGATTTCAAATAATGTATACATTTCAGGCTGGGAGAAGGATGTAGCCACATTGCCGGACTTCTGTTTGCCTTAGAGGCAAATCATACTGCCAGTAGTGAGGACCCTGATTCAGAAGTTGCATGTACATCCAAACCATGTGTGTGGAATCAACCTAGCAAACGTAAACATAGTCCAAAAAAAATTGAAAACATTACATTCAAAAGAATTAAATTACGAGATGAGGAAAAACCACTTCCAGTAAAACAACAAATTGTATTGCCCGATGAGCACGACTTAAGTAAATTTAGGGATAAGTTATGCTCCAGGTTAGGTAACCATACAAATGCTGCCATATTTAGTTTATTGCCATCTATTGACAATACCATACCAACCGAGAGTGACTTAAATGTATCTCTAGAAGAGACAGTTGAAACATCATTATTCATATCTCATCAAAGTGACAAATACATAAACATTATGCAAACTGTAAAAGAAAGAAATATGTCACAGGAAGAAGCTTTATCTTTTCTAGAAGATTGTGATCAGGATGTCATATATGAAATTGAAGAACGAACAAGAGGACAGAGCGACAATGATTTATGGTTGACATCAAGGAAGGCTCGAATAACAGCATCTGTATTTCATGACATCAGTACACGAAAATCCAATACACCACCTGAAAAACTGGTTGAAAGAATTCTTGGAAACTCTGGTAACAATAAATATAATGAATTTGTGCCATCTTTAAAATGGGGAAAGAAAATGGAAAATGTTGCCAAGAAGCATTACATTGCAATAAATAAACTTAAATTTAAAAGAAAAATTCAAATCCAAGAAAAAGGATTGATACTTCATAAGGATTATTCATATTTAGGAGCAAGTCCTGATGGTATTGTTGTTCACAACAGTACAAAGCATCTTATTGAGGTTAAATGCCCTTACAAGTGGAGGACAAAATCTGTAACTGAAGCCTGTAGAGATTCTGACTTCTTTTGTTTTGTTGATGAAAATAATGACATTCAATTAAAACATTCAAGCAGATACTATACCCAAATACAAGGTCAAATGGGAATCTGCTGTGTAAAATCTTGTGACTTGGTTGTTTATACAACAAAACAAACAAAAATCATTCCTGTGTCCTTTGATGAAGTGTTTTGGGAGAATCTTCTTAAGAAATTAATTGCATTTTATAAACAGTTTGTACTCCATAAACTTTCAAATTAAAGGCATGTTTATGACAGATAGACTAAGATGTTATTGGGAATCAGTGTATGGGTTTCAAATTTGTAGAATAAAAACATCCAATTTAAACATGAATTCTTATTTCAGTATTGCATACTTAATAAGGAATTTTAATGACAATGTTAAATAGAAGTTGGCAGTTAACTGGTTGAAATTATATAAATATGTATTAAACACTGTTAAAAATGTTGTGTTGTACAATTAATATATAACACAAACATATTCAAGATAATTATGACATTGTTTAATGATAAATGATCTTAAGTTTCGTTAACATATTTAAACACTAAAGTAATATATATTTGGCAATATGTTTACAGCAAACTTGAGCCGCATCATGACAAAACCAACATAGTGCGTTTGGGACCAGCATGGATCCAGACCAGCCTGTGCATCCGTGCAGTCTGATCAGGATCCATCCTGTTCGCTTACCAACTCTATTACAAGTAGAGAAACTGATAGCGAACAGCATGAATCCTGATCTGGATTCATGCTGGTCGCAAACCCATTATGTTGGTTTTGTCGTGACACGGCTCATTTGTTTTGTGGGTCTCTTAACATGTCTCAAAAATAAAATGCATTGTTTATTTTTACACATGGGCAATTTAATACTCTGTATCATAATTTATCATGTTAATGTTAAAGAACATTCAGTATTAAATGAAATGCATTGAAAAGTCTAACAAAGACATATTGGAAGAATTTTTTATTTCTTCATATTGAAATTCAATGACATTTTGAGTAAATGGCAACAGATTGTAAAAACAAAAGTGTACATTTGCACTGTTATCAAAGCATGACAAAATATAATAAGGACATATTGTTAAAAACAATTTCTAATATTGATATACATTTTCACAAAGTTGTACAACATTTTCATATTATTTTTCTGAACTTTTAGTCATTTGATGATATTATTAAATATAATGTGTAACAATTGTTTTTATATATTTGTAGAAAATCAGTATTACTTGAATCTTTAACATGTAAAATGTCATGTACATGCACTAAGTACATTGTTCAAAAATATGCTGAATGTAACCACAAGTACACTCTGTAGTGATAAATAAATTAAATTAAAACAGTTCTTTGTAGTTTTTCAATTCCTTACAACATTTGAACAAGAAAAAATTTTATGATGAAACAAATGAGTTATAAACTTTGTATGTAGAAAGGCTCATAGAATATTTTTCAGTGAATGAAATTTAAATTTAAGATAAGAAAAAGTGGTCGTATTGCTTACATTAATTCCTCAAAAAGGTACAATTTGTTAAGAAATCTTACTGCTCTAGAAAAAAAGATGAGAAAAAAATTATGATGGAGACAAAAATCTATAAAAGCTGAGATCATTTTGAAAATCAAAGTTAAATATATTTTCAAGAAAGTACATGTATTTCTCTTGCTCACAACTCATTTTACTTATGGTCAATCACATTACATATTGTTTATAACTTAAAACATTTTTTTTTGCAATAATCTCATAAGTCACCTAGTAGTGAGCTTGTTCACAATAAAAAATGGACATTAAATTTGGATCCCATTAAAGTAGAAATTTCCATAAAATATGAAAGTCAGAATAACAGTTATACATGTAGTGTTGTCCACATCTCCTCAAAAAACTAAATAATATCCATGTATCAATAAAGTTTCAAGTTTATATCTCTTACTCTGCAGGCATACTCCAGACAAAATAATGTACATGTATAAATAAAACATGTATAAGAGCTATGGAATTTTACATCTGAAGAGTTTTTTACCTACATACTGCAAAAAGTATTCTTGCATATCAGACTGGCATTTCCATTAGTTTTAAAATGTGAATTTTAAACATATGACTGCATGGAAAAATATTGACAGGATAAATACAATGGTAGTTAGAGTGATCACTTTGTTTCCAGATTTCACAGATGAAGACAATTTATCTGGCTCAGCTTCGGTTGTTATCTGGTTTGCCTTCTGCTCACCAGATAAATTCCTACGCCTTGCCTCAAACTTGCTCCATCCACAGCACTAACCTATTATTCTCTATATTATTGCAGACAAAGCTGCAACTATAAGTTTGCCATTCAGGGATCACATTAAAGCAATTTAATTTACTTCACTAATGGTGGCATTAAATTAGTTAAAGCGCTGCAAACAAAAAAGATTTCATTTGAGACCTTGTTGATAGCAAGTGGCAACACGCCCTGAAGAATTCTAAAATTTTTAATTTGCTCCATCTTCCTCTCAACATGAATTCTTGCAGATGCAATGCGCCTTGTCAAATCAACCTCTTCCTTTGAAAATTGAGATTTTGTTTTAAAGGGTGGACAATACAACTTGACACCAAGTTTTTTAAGATCTGATTTTAAATGAATGAACCCTTTATCTACCATTACAGCATCTCCCTTCTCCAACATCTGTAGCAAACTGCTTTCTCTTGTGATCTGTACATCAGAGGCAGAGCCTCCCCAAAGTTTAGACACAAAGACAGTAGCTCCAGTCATGCTGACTCCAACTAACACTTTGAATGTATTATGAGATTTATAATTTGAATAAGTAACTGATTTATTTTCCAATGAAGATGGTGTTTGAATAAAAATTTCAGTACAATCAAGAATTATCCTAGTGTCTCTAAAGTGTGTAAAACAAGATGGAATTGATTTCTGCAATACTTCTAATTTGGGCAAATACACTAATGATTGAAGATACTTGTACATAAAAACTATCCAAGAATTGAATATTTTTGAAACAGAACTACCAGATATTTTAAATCTATATTCTAGGTCTTTCACAAGTAAGCCAAGTCTAAGTCTCATCATCACTAAAAGAAATTCATCAACAGACCTCAACTTCCGTTTTTTTCCAGTGTCATTTTTAAAGGTGTTTGGTTTTGCTGAACATAACTTATCTGCACCAAATTCAATGAGGGTTAAAAATAGAGAGTTAAAAATGAGAAATGATGGTAAACCCGTGTAAAACATTATTTTTTCATCACTGTCTTGTATATCTTCAATTGTAATATCTGGTCTTTTTGTGTGTGTTGATACATCATTTTTTTCTTGACAGGCTTGCACTAATTTAGAGTGAGACACAACATCCACATTCTCGTCACTTGTGCAGATTCCACTTGCATAGCTAGGGGAAAAATCAGTAAATAACAAGAAAAGCATTGACGCAAAGCATCAAAGGGCGTCCAAGCAAGAAATGCATCAGGTGCAGATGAACTAGTAGATATATGTTGATAAACTGTTCATTGGTTTTTACCAGAATTGTATATCACTTATGAACGAAGGAACGAAAGACATTGTTCATTATTTATAAATTTGATTGGCATGCTAGAAATTAGAATATTACTTGTTATTTCTTTATGATCGTGATTATTAATAGCAACGGATATACATGTATACAATCATTTATAATCCATTTGAGTAACGCATGATCAACACCACACTTGTGTAATTGTCCCTTATTATGTTATTGCTACTAGCGAAGACCCTCTCTTAAGGTATCTGTTCACACTTAGTAACAATAAGACACTTGTTATATTACCATGTTGATCATGTTGAGCATAAATGTTTATTATACACTAATTGTAATATCTTTTTTAATAAAAAAAATACAGATTTTATGAAAATTGTTATTTGCTTTTCTTTTTTGTGTTTTATGCACTATTTTAATACTGAATTTTTTCGTTTACTATTATTTTAAGAATTCAATTGTCATAATGACCGACGATTATAAGTCAAAACTTAACTGCAAAAAGTCAGTAAATTATGGTTAATCTTTCAATATATAATATTGTTTATTCTTAAACCATATACATGTACATTTGCATTTTTCTTTATCATTTCTTAAATTATCAATCAATTGAATTATTCATAAAATCTGATTTGTAACTTTGAACAATTCTTCGGCATCTTTACTAAACACGAATAACAAATTAAATAAAATGTTTCAAAGTTGATAGTGTCATATTAATGCCATAAAAATGTACATTTTTTCTCAATTATTGTACATATTTATTGTTTTTATCTCATATAGATAAAATAAAACATGCGATGTGTGTTACCTTTTTCTCAATTATTGTACATATTTTTTGTTTTTATCTCATATAGATAAAATGAAACATGCTATTGTTGTTGTTGTTTGTTTTTTTTCGAATTGTATGTTTATGTATAATAATAATCAATAAATTTGAGAGTTGATCTATGTTTATTAGTTATTGTAACCAAACTAAGTGACAAACATTCGTTTTGGAAAAAAAGCTTATTTATCTGTAAAATATTTGTTCTGTTCTGTAACGATATCAAACATCTACTCCAAAACCGGGAGAGACCGGACAATAAACGTGTGGTACTATTCGCCGGTCGCCAAAATAGACCAGGAGAGACCGGGATTTACCGACAGGAGTACATCCATCTATAAATAGATTTTCGGAATATTTAGGTCATCAACTCATCATTCTATTTACAGCTTTCGGAATAACATACCATAATAATCCACTGTGTACTACAAAATGATAAATAGAAATACCCTGAAGAGCGCGATTTATTGACGGAAAAGGTTAATTAGATTCTAATTTGAAAATGTTTGCATTGCGAAATTCTCCAGTTCGCTATTCATTGTACAAATCGCGATTAATTAATAATCAAGCACCCTCATACCGATCGGAATGATCGGCTTTTATTATGAACAACTATAAAAGGCTCGAGAAGTTGTTTTCGCCCTTTCACAAAATCTGATTTCATTACATAAAAGGCGCCGCGCTTCGGCGCGGACGCCAATAAGATAGATTTTAGGTAAAAAAAACACTGTTCAGTGTTTTGTTTATTGATAATTTACAAAAAAATATTATAAAGACAAACTATGAGCAAATAAATACATGTATATTGAAAGGTTTCTTTTTGATGCTACTAAATTGATAAAAATCCATGTTAAGACCTTTTATGTATTAAACCATAGTTTAATGTTTTAAAACTTGATGGCCAGGCACTAATTAGCTCTTATGTTATGAAAAATTAAAATTGTTCTTTAACCACATTAAGTTAGTTCAAATGAAATGTTATTGAATATTTAAAATGTACATTTTATTCTTCTCAGAAAGTTTAAAGCTACATGCCCCCAAATGAGTGAAAAATATTTTGAAAAATCAAATTTAAGAAAAATATGTTCAAAATATAAGGAACGTATCTCTTTTGTCAAAACAATACTAAGTTTGTAGAAGCCATTGTTTACCTTAAAGTTTTATTAATATCACAAAATTTCTACAGAGTGACTAACGCAGTAGAATCTAAATTAACGTAATTTGACACTTTAAAGGCAATTTCTCAGGAAAGAAAGCATTATTATCTGGCCTATATCATTTATTTCTATTATTGATAATACATGTATTTCTAATGATTAAAAATGTTTTGTTTTTTTAAATTTTCATGAAATTTGATATCAATCTGGAGCCATGCTGCTTTAAAAAGAGAGATAATGGAAAGCAGGACATTGTTGTATTTTGTAAAGGAATAAAAATATAGTAAGTTAATAGTTAATAAATCAATTACCCATGGAACATCAAGGGATTTTCTAAAGTTGATGGCTTCTCCTCCTGATCCTGAACTTTCTTCATCTGAAAAAAAATATAGAATAATATAGGCATGAAATTTAAAACAACAGTTACAAATGTTATAAAATAGAATTTTTCCTATTAAACATACCTTCTTTATGAATATAAAGTGTATACTTTCATCACAATCAAGTTAAAATATATACATGTATTTATAAATGTAGCAGGGTAGAGTATAAGGACGCTAGTGTCCTCCTTAGGTGTGAGAGGACCATAGATCGAATCCGGGTCAGGTCTGAAATAATTTTAGTTTTAAACATTTGGCGCGACCGGTTTGACCAAACTGTTATGGGTAAGAGTTAGAGGAAGGCCTAACCCTGAAAGAATGATATCTCCCTAATAAAAATGGCAATCTCCTGGATTAGACCCCTATGTTATGTATGTATATTTCAGAAGTATAACTTGTATAAAATAGAAAACAGAATGAATCTTATTATGTATAAAAATATCTTGAGTCACTTTGATATGACCAATTAACTGCACTAGGCTAGACTATGATTTGTAATATACTAAATACCTAACCTGTGGGCTAGACTGTGATTAATAATAATTCAAAAAAGTTAATGTGGCATGTTGATATCTAGTAAACATTATTGTGTTCATAAATAAATAATAAACTGTGTTAATAAATAAATAAATATTAAACTGTTAAATGCAGTTATTTCTTACATGTCTACGGATTCTTTCTTTTTTTCCCGAGGCTGAGAGAGGTTTTTGAGCCAAGTTCACTGTAGGCACTTTGTTCCTTGTAAAGTTACATGTACCAATAAGCCATCCTCGAAATGGTCTGAGCACACCCTTGTGTACGCCGTTGGTTTCCAATTCTTTCTACTAATTGCCCTAATCCATGATCTTCTTGTACAAATATTTGAAGGAAGTTTGTGTAATGTTACTGATTTCCCATATTTTCCAGTTTTTCCTTTGAAATTGTGGCACTAGGCAAACAACAATAATATTTACCCATGGTGTGAATTCTAATTTGACAACCGGAAGTAAACAGATACCTACCCGAATGGGAGGTAACTCGTATTTGACTTAGTTTTTTAGAATCAACCCGCTTTTTAAATAGGATGACTTTTCCCTTTTCAATGTTTTCAAGTTTCCAATAACAACATCAGGTTCTATCCCATTTTTACTTTTATAGCTTTCGCAGCAGTACATTTTGCTATCATCTGATATAGTATAAAATGTGAAAAAAGATATTGTATAAATGGATTGTCTATTATTTCTACATTACTTTCTCCTAACACAGTAATGCTTGTCTGTATTAAAGAGGGCAATTGCTTTCGGTTTTATTGAAAAAAATAAGAGAGTGTATATCATGCTGTCAGACACCGAGGGGGTGGTTGGGGGGGGGGGGAAATGGTACTACTTTATATTTGTAGGGTTATTCTTGTGTAATGATTTCTATGCTGATAGATAGTATTAGATATATTTCATACAATTTTATAAGATTTAGAGAGACAGAGAGACAGACAGACAAAGATGCATTGGAAATAGTTTTAAAAGAAATTTATATTAATTTCAATTTATAAGTGCACATGAATAAAACATGCGGTTTGTATCTTAATGATTACGTTTCTCTAATTACGTGTATCATTTTTTTAATCACAGCAATTGATAATTCAATTTATATAACAAATAAGTTATGTAATAGGATTTGATTGCCATAAAGATAATCTGATTTGTTATTTTTGTTGTTTTTGTTGTTGTTGTTTTTTTTTAATTATTATTATAATTAGAATGGGGTATATCTGGAAAGTAAGTCAATAAAAAAGCTAAGTTTGAATCAGTGATACTAAGTCACTATGCAGCTGGTACCTTTAAAATGAATATATATATATATATATATATATATATATATATATATATATATATATATATATATATATATATATATATATTATATATATATATATATATATATATATATATATGTGTGTGTGTGTGTAGCTGATTAGTAAGCATTTTAGAAAATACAATATTATTTAATTATTTATTTTGTTTGTAATTTTGTTCATATTTTAAAATTTAAAGAGCCTTTGAAGAGGGAATCTCTGACAAGTTTAATACTGTAAAATCACAAACATTTAATTATGAAAAATTATGTTTAAAACGTAATACGAACCCTTGGCAAACAAATAATCATGCACTGCACAATGTTGAGAGGGTTTGTTTTTTTTTAATTGTTTGAGGAAATAATTGTCCACCTTTTTATTATGTCTAATATCGAGCTTTTTAAGGAATTCATGATCACCTAAGTTAAATACACTTGAGCGATCCGTTGCATAAGCACTACTGTCATGGACATCTGTTTTTGTTGTTAAAGATAGGTATGTAAAGCTGAGAATAAATAATTAAGCAAAGCGGTTCAATATCAAAATATGTAAAATTTTGATTTCGTAAGATTTACGTTTTATCTTTTATTCTTTTATTAGGTGCACATATGATCTATTGTTTTGATCCTAAAGTTAATATGATATACATAAGCTTTGAATATACTTCAAATGTCGTTCTGTTTCTTTATGTTTCTTAGAACAGGGTTACAGTTATCTAATGTCATCTTAAGTAAGACTATTAAGAATCATTTTCCCTAGATGTCCGACACCTTGACATTTTTCCCTTTACTAGTACCAAAATGACGATTTGCCTCTTAGAGACAGTTATTCTTAGTATGTTAACATTAGCAACATCCATTTATAGTATTTATACCATAACCTTTACCAGATTATTGTAATAAATTAGAAAACACCGTGTGTTGCTCCGAAACCTATAATATTACTTGACTATAGCAAAAGTTCCTGTTTTTTTTAACTTCAAATGTTTCTTTTAAACAGTGAAATAATTTACATAGATTAAAATTTGATCAAGAAATACATTAACGTTTCTCTGTTTTATACTTATCTAAAACTGTTAAAGAAAACAGACGGAAACAGAACTTTTTGTCAAAATTGGTAAACTGATAACTTCTTAGATGGAGAAAACAAAACAACATTTAGATAACTGAAATTGACAAGAATAAAACATCTGAGGTTCATTGTAAAGAATAAGTAACTCCCGTTATAGTTGCTGGTAAGGAGATTTGTCATGACAGGAAATAAAGTAAATGTCATGTAACATCTGCGTATAATCTAAAGTGCACCTAAAAAGGAACAGTTCTTTATTTCGGTGTGGCCAAAAATACATTTCAAAATATTTCAATACCTGTTTCACATGCAGATAACCAGTTGCACAGCATTATTCAATGATACATGATATACATTGAAGAAAACAGTTTGCATGCATTGCTTCTAAATAAAATGAGTGACAGCAATTATATAAACCCCAACCAGCAAAAATCACACCTAAAATATACCGATATGGGCGATCTTCATGAAGATGCAACATACTCAAGAATTCGCCCGATTCCTTTAGAAATATCACTAACACACAGTGTAATTATTGGCATTTCCGAGAAATGATTTATAAAGTGTCTATCATACGTTTAGATTTTTCACAATTTATCAAAACTTCTTACTTGTTTGGCACCAACGGTCAAAGCTTCATTTCTTTTTCACCTTCATTCGGAGAGTCACAAATACATACAAAGCTACCAAAATGCTTAGTTTCGCGTAAAAGCCCAAAAATACTGCTCATTTCCTACACACAAATACGGTGGCACAGAGGTGACATGTGGGTGTCTTTTTTTATCTCGTTCCCACGACATAATATCTCGTTCCCACGATATAATTATCTCGTTCCCACGACATAATATCTCGTTCCCACGACTTATTATCTCGTTCCCACGAGTTAATTATCTCGTTCCCACGAGATAATATCTCGTTCCCACGACTTCTTATCTCGTTCCCACGAGATAATATCTCGTTCCCACGAGATAATTATCTGGTGGGAACAAGATAAATTAGCCAATTAAAAGCTTTCAATGTGACAGGAAAAGGTTATTCCCCTTTTTGCGCTTCATTCGTCTTTGTAAAAACGCAACAAAAAGTTACTTCCCTTTTCCTTCTTTTAACCATTTGCTGATTATCAATATCGGGAGTTTCTTTCAAATCAGGTATTGTTAATTTATACTAGAATAGATCTAATTGCATTTGTTTAGTTAGATACAGATACATTTAGCATGCACGTTTGTAAAGTCCTCGTAACTCGGGGTTAGGGCCTTCTGCATTTGTTTAGTTAGATACAGATACATTTAGCATGCACGTTTGTAAAGTCCTCGTAACTCGGGGTTAGGGCCTTCTGGTTTTTTTTTTTTTCAGGACGAAAAATATAGAAATTAATTAGTGCAATTCCATTAATAATCAGTATTCAAAGGGCCTATTGTTAGTCAATGGTCATTGATAAAAAATATATTGCACACCAGTGCCAAGCTGTATGGCCGGTCCAGTCGCGCAATGGCACCAATAGATATCCCATTCATACGGTGGCACAGAGGTGACATGTGGGTGTACATTCATCTAGATCTTAGTCACTGAGCACTAACCAAGAAGATAAAAAGCAGAATCAGTGAATCAGTCCCCCTTGTTTATCTCTGGGAGGGTAACGAAGTAGAGTGATCCCAACAGAATAATGACAAAATAATGATCTCCGGTCATAAAATCATAATATTGAAAGGCTACAACTCACTCACACCGCCTCCGTGGTCGAGGGGTTAGAGTCGATGACTTCTAATCCAGTTACCTCTCTGGCGTGGGTTCGATCCCCGGGAGATGCTTTGGTAGTTTAGCGCGGAGGAAGGTAGTCTAGTACTGGTGTAACTCTCCAGGAACGATGGTTAGGAAACTACCCGCCTATATGACTGAAATACTGTTGAAAAAGGCGTAAAATGAAACAAACAAACAAACAAAACAAACAACTCACTCACGTGAAGCAAAGTGACCCCTTGCAAAGAATTGTGACCCCAAAGAATAACGACCCTACGACCCAATATTGTGGTGTAATTTAAAGAAATGTGGCCCATGGTCCGACCAGGGCCCGTATTCATCAAAGTTTAAAGTCTAAGTTTTAGACTTTGACTTCAAAATGCCAATATTTCATTTTACTCTGTCCTTGTTAAAACATATTAGATTACAATGAAACTTTACATGAATGTGCATTCTATGCCTGCAAACAAAAGGGCAAAATTTCTTTATGCAAAATAAATTACAAACAAAGTTATGGCAATTTGATTATTTGCTGTTCTTAAGTCAAAGTCTAAGTTTTAGACTTTAAACGTTGATGAATACGGGCCCAGATGTCTGTGTCACAACACAACTGTCAGAAAACGCACTTGGATCGTTTTCAATCAGCTCGGAAGCAAACACTGACAGTGTTTCCCTTTGATCCTAGTCCTTATTCTTAAGGTTATGGAAATGAGAGCACTGGCCCCTTTTAGATACCGCTATGGCTTAATATAGAAAAAAACCTTCAAACATTCTCTTCTGATGAACCGCTTGGTGGATCCAGGATATTCCTCGTCAAAGTTGATCTGTAGCATGTACGCAAGGTCTGTTCGTAAGTTGGTTCAAATGCGAGCACCTGACCCCTTTAAGGGGACCGCTAGAGCTAAATATAGAAGAGCATCTTCTTGCCTCGAACTGCTAAGTGGGGGTCTGTACCAGGTTTATAACGTACTAGCACAAGTTTGTTCAAATAGGAGCACCTTTTAGTTTGCTAAGATTAAAGAAAATATTAAGGTCACGTTAAAGGTCATATATCTCGAAAAAAATAAAATTGCTCTAAATCGCATATGTTATACAGCTAGTCACACTGAACACGTCAGTGAAAATTTTATCCAAATTGGTCAATAAATAAATATTTGGTGCTTAATTTAGCATTTTTAAAATGTAAATATATGAATATTCATTATTTTCAACTTTTTTTTTTTTTTTTTTTTTTTTTTGATGCGTTTATTTAAGGTCGCCGCCGGAAAGCCCATATGGGCGACCGTACACTCAAGTCGGGTCATCCTAGAGCGTCCCGCCGAGATTTTTCGTCGATTTATTTCCAGCTTTATTGGTGGAGGAAGACCCCAGGTGCCCCTCCGGGCATTATTTCAGGCACGAGCGGGCACCTGGGTACAACCACCGACCTTCCGTAAGCCAGCTGGATGGCTTCCTCACATGAAAGATTTCGACCCGAGTGAGGATCGAACCTACAGTGGTGAGGGACCTGTGATCTCAAGTCAGCGACTTTAACCACTCGGCCACGGAGGCCCCCCTATTTTCAACTATGACGTCATAGACACATTAATATTCAAACACAATTCATGAACTGTACAAGTGAATTTTAAAGATGACAGTTCATGTTTTTGATAGATATAATGTAGGGCTACATAGAAACACATTTAGTTTTCTTCATCTACCAAGTATGCTTAAGTAACAGTGATATAAAATTTGCTTTCAAAAAGAGGGCGTGGCCTAATTTATTCTTTTTCCATATTTGGAAAATTCTTAAAAGTGCTGTAATTTGGTCAGTTTTCCTTCAATTTTCAAAATTCTTTCATATTTGTATCGTGGTAATACACTTTTATCAAATCAGCTTTTTTTAAAAAAAATGACAAATATGATCTTTAAGGACGTCTTTTCCTCGTGAATTACTTGATGGACCTTCAATTAAACTTCACAGGAATGTTTCTTATGTGAATGCTGCCAAATTTGTTCAAAGAATTTGATTCTATGCAGAACTATGGTTGCCATGGCGGCCAAAGGGATTTTTGTACACCCGAACTTAACAAATCTTTTCATATTTCACTGGTCGGATTTCAACTAAACTTCACAGGAATGTTCATTGGATGACTGTCTACACAAATTGTTCAAATAATTTAATTCTATGCAGAACTCTGGTTACCATTGCATCAATAATGATTTTTGTGCACTGTACATAACTTAAAAATATTCTTCTCAAAAACTGTTCGTCAGATGTCGACTAAACTTCACAGGAATGTGCCTTGGGTGATTGTCAACCAAAGGTGTTCAAATAATTTGAGTCCATGCAGAACTCTTGTTGCCATGCAACCAAAATGACTTTTGTACACCCACACTTAAAAAATTCTTTTCCTAATGAAGCAGTGGTCCGATTTCAAGGTAACTTCACAGGAATGTTTCATGGGTGCTGCTTTACCAAACTTGTTCAAATAATTTGATCCCATGCCATGGCAACCAAAATATAAAAAAAAACTTCAGATATCTTCTTCTTATGCCCATTTGCAATTTAATTTATAATATGAAATTTCATTGGATAATAGATATTCGGCATGTCATATTTGTTATGGCCAGCGGCATTGCACTTTTCAAATGCAGTCTTGTTTAAGAGTTTAGTTCGAGTATTTTAGTCACTATTTCATGTACTTGGAAATAGATAAGCTGATCATACAAGTGTGTAACCATTAATGCTGGGTCATGCTACCTTTAGTGTCAGTCCAGATTTGCTACTTACTGTGTCACAAGTTTCTGCAATATCAAAGATAACACCGTGTCTTAATAGTAGCTTTTGTCGACAATAAAAGTAATAGTCAGCTCAAAAGGAAATAAAAAATAGCAACATGGAAGGTAATTTGTAAACTTTAGTGTCGCTAAATTTTTGTTACCTTTGGCTTTGACCATTAACTTTAGGGTCGAGAAAAGTTACATTTAGGGTATGGTGTTACCCTTAGGTTTGTAGCACCAATTCTTTGATCAGTACTCCGAATGTGTAACCACTAGACCACGCCACAAAGTGGCCGTTGAACAACAAAGAAAGGTTTAGTTAGGTCGATCGTACATATTACCATTTCGTGTCAAGTCATAATTAGCCTATATATTACTTTGCAGAAAATGGACGACTTCCTTGAGAGACGAGGGGTAGATAAAGCTGTGATTGATAAAATGCTGGAAGACAAGGTAAACAATAAAATTGAATATAATAAAATAGCTGGTAGGCTATGTAACGCTGCTGTCCGTAAACTCCATGCCAGTAGGAACAGGCTAGGACTAAATTCTGCTTTCTCTATCATGTGAGGAAACTATTCAGACACATAGATTACGGAAGGGGAAGGTCGGTGATTTTACACAGGCGACAACGTGTACCGAAGGCTGAATATGTCGCCATATGAACTTAATATGTGTCTTTGCGACTTAAAAGCCAACAAAACAAAACTCCCATTTTTTTTTGGTTCTGTTGTGTTGAAATGCGCTGAAATATTGACAAAACCATATTTAAGCGTTGCTTTTTACAGATTGATTGTGACACTGTGACTATTATGACTGATGAAGAACTGAAAAAATACTTGCCAGCTTATGGTGACCGCATAGCATTGATGGCTTTTGCAAGACGTGATATGAAAAAGTCTGGTTCAACCAAATACGATGGCACAGAAGTAAACACAGGTAAAGTGACAATTCCAAAATTCTATTTGAAAGTATACCGAAAGAGAAGGCATGGTTATTGGAGTGGGATAGGTCGGTGTTAGGTCGTCTGTACGCAGCTCCTACATCCGTCATGAGAGTATCATCATCAGTTGCACCGGAGAATGTTGTCGATGTTTCCTCATTGGATCATTCAGTGAAATTATTTTCATTTGTTTCTATACATGTCATATTATTATAGAAAATTATTTCACACTTATGTAATTGGTAATATAATTAAAGTGCTTACCACCTTTTAAAAGGCTTTTTTTTTTTTAAATTTTGCTTAAAAAACAAATTTACCTTGCTTTTGGAGGGGTTTTCCTTTTGTTCCCCCAAAAATTAAACCTTTTTTCCCTCTTTTTAAAAAAAGGGGCCCCCAACTGTTGGGTCGAAGGTTTAAGGTCGTCATTGTCAAATAAGGGGATACACAAACCTAATGTGTACTTAGTAGTCCAAACTGCCAAAAAAGAAATAGATTTTTAGCTCAACTATTCGAAGAATAAGGAGAGGTATTCTACTCGCCCTGACGTCGGCGTTGGCGTCACACTTTGGGTAAGTTTTTGTATGTAAGCTGGTATCTAAATAACTACTGAAGGGAATTGCATGAAACTTCACACACTTGTTTTAGGTGGTTAACCCACTTCTTATGCACATGTCCTATAACTCTGGTTTGCTTTATTGCTGAGTTATGCCCCTTTTTGGACATTTCTGGTTAAGTTTTTGTATGTAAGCTGGTATCTAAGTAACTATTGAAGGGAATTCATTGAAACTTCACACACTTGTACTAGGTGACTAACTCACTTCGTATGCACATGTCCCATAACTCTGAATTTCTGTTTTGCAGAGTTATGCGCCTTTATGGACTTAGAAATTCTGGTTAAGTATTTGTATGTAAGCTGGTATCCTGGTAAGCACTGAAGGGAATTGATTGAAACTTCACATACTTGTTTTAGGTGATTAACCCACTTTGTATGCACATGTCCCATAACTCTGTTTGCTTTTTTGCAGATTTATGCCTTTTTTGGACTTAGAAATATCTGGTTAAGTTTTGTTTGTAAACTGGTATATAAGTAACTACTGAAGGGAATGGAATGAAACTTCACACACATGTTTTGTAGGAGTATCTTTGGTGACGGGCACATGCCCCATTACTCTGATTTGCTTTTGCAGATTTATGCCTGTTTTTGGACTTAGAAATTTGTAGCTAAGTTTTTGTATGTAAGCTGGTATCTAACTGAAGGAAATGAAATGAAACTTCACACTATTGTTCGCTTTGCGTTTCTAAGGTGATAGTCACATGTCCATTACTCTGAAAAGCAAAGGCACATGTCCATTACTCTGATTTGCTATTCTGCAGAGTTATGTCCCTTTTGGAGTAAATGCTTGTATTATACTATCAAGCACTGAGAATAGTCGAGCGTGATGTCCCTCCGATATTTCTTGTATGCTGTATTATCTCATTATTCATTACAATTTCCTTCAGGTATATTACATATCGATTCTCACTGACATAAAGACTTACCAATTTCCTAGTATTTTAGAGAAGTTATATTTAATTAACTGGTAATTGATTATTGAAAATTTAATTTCGTGTTGATGACGCCAAGTTATCACCTGAATGGCAGCCTTCATGTTCCGTGATTTTGTCATCTTCAATCTCAGATAAGCTTATGTAATTTGGGCTTTATAAAAAAGAGAAATATTGCTAATAATAATTCAGCGCTTATTTCGTATTCAGAAGCAGAATGACTTTGATGAGGTATACCTACCAAAACCTCTTTTGCTTACAAAAAATTAAAAGATCAAGTTCATTACCAAAACAATTCCTGTAAAATGAAAGAGCTTCAGCTTAGAACCTTCAATTTTTAGCTCGACTTTTCGAAAGAAAAAAGTCGAGTTATTGTCGTAGGTTGGTCGTCTGCGTCTGCGTCTGCGTCAGCGTCTGCGTCTGCGTCCGGGTTGGTTAAGTTTTTCGTTGGTGTCCATTTTCTCAAAGACTATCAAAGGTATTCACTTGAAACTTGGAATACTTGTTCACTATCAAAAGGGGAACCCATACCAACAAGGCAGATAATCCTAAGATTATTTTTGACAGAGTTATGCCCCTTTTTAACTTAGAATTTTTTGGTCAAAGTCAAATATATCAGTTACTATCAAAGCTTTTGGCTTGAAACTTAAAATTGTTATTTATTATCAAAGACTACACCAGGTAAACCAACCCCCATAACTCTGATTTGAATTTTGACAGAATTATGCCCCTTTTCAACTTAAACTTTTTTGGTTAAAGTCAAATATCATTTTAACTATCAAAGCTTTTGGCTTGAAACATAAAATAGTTATTTATTATCAAAGACTCCACCAGGTGAACCAATCCCCATAACTCTGATTTGAATTTTGACAGAATTATGCCCCGTTTCAACTTAGAATGTTTGATTACAGTCAAATATCTTTCTTAATATCAAAGCTTTTGGCTTGAAACTTAAAATACTTATTCATTATCAATATCTGCACAAAGGGAAATAATCCCCATAACTCTAATTTGATTTCTGAAAGAGTTATGTCCCTTTTTAACTTAGAATTTTTGGTTTAAGTCAAATATCTTTCTTACTATTAAAGCTTTTGACTTACTATCAAGCACTGAGAAAAGTCGAGCACGCTGTCACGCCGACAGCTCTTGTTACATTATTGTTGTATCCAGTCTATGCTCTTGCCATTCATAAAGGTATAAGACCGTGAATTACAATGAAACAAAGTATCACATGCTTCATGCGATAATGTCAAGGGAGCAAGTAGACTTTACAGTTCATATTTCATTTAAATGCATTCATAGTTGTTATGACCGTTACCTTTCAAGCGCCATCGTTGACATTTGTCATCTTACAGTGACATCTCTTGTTTTTCATTTGTTCTGCAATTACTTAGAATAGAGCTTTATGCATTAAAACAGAACATTGCAGATGTAATATTTACATTAAGAATGTGAATGCCTAGTATGTCTTTTCGGGTGATCCGTTTTATGTAATAAAAGGACGGAGACTCTTGTTTTATAATTCATACGAATATTTTTGAATTGCAGGAAACACAGATACCGCTAAGATACGTGAGCTTATGTCCTCTGGTAAACGCGGATTGGGAAATAAAAACGCGTCACGAATGTGTCGACGCGTAGAAATGGGATGGTTTCACTTAGACGAAATAGCATTAAAATACAAGCAAGTAAGATCACAGAATGGGGGCGGCACAAGAACATTACTTTTAGAAAAAAGCTGCACCTTACCTGACATTCTATCAAAAGCAATTGAGACATTTTTTCCAAACGATGGACAGTCAAAATTTGGTAAAATATCGAGTATGAATACAGAAATGAGAGACTTTAAGGGAGATACTCTTGCAGGAAATAGAACTGTTGATGAACTTTACAAGGAAAGCAAACTAAAGAAGCTCAGAGTATATTTGTACACGAAAACAAAAAAGGGTCAAGATTCTGAAACGAATGAAGAGCCATGGGAGGAAGTCGTAGGGGCAGATGGATTAGGTGTATCAGATGAAGGAGAAGGATGTGAAGAAGAGAAAATGGAAGCTGAGGCAGAGAGTTTTCAAAATGTGGCAATGGCGAGCGTAAACAGCCCCGATTGTGAAGTATGTTCATTGAAATATGTATTAAATGATACCTTTGCAGAAATAGAGCGCGATGTTAAACACTTCTTATATAACTTCAAACCCCACTTATGTTTTCAAAGTCAGTTTCGATGCTTTTACAAGTCTAGTTTTAAAGTAAATTTTAAAATGATTGTTCATAAAATTGTAATTTTTTAAATCTGATGAAGTTGTTAGTAGCGGAGTCTGCAATGTGTATTTGGATTCTGTTAAACTTGTAGGAAGTTAGTATTAGTTCTAATTTGTAGATTTTAGGATGCATTTGCAACTGACGTCAATTATTTAAGGTCTAGACAATGGTTGATTTTTATATTGAAGTTTTTTTTATTTTTAAGAATAGTACAGTGTACACAGGTATATGCATGCATGTTAACGAGTTCTACAGTGTTAATCATTTTAGAGGCCATAAGGTCAATTTAAATGTAAATGCCTCCATGACTTTTTCCAAATATTTAAGATGTGATCTTAACATGAAATGCTTCTACCTCGGAGCTTTGGACTTCATATGTGAATCCAATTTTATGGTCACTATGTCAAAGGTCAGGTCTCCAAAACTTATTTTGTCCAAAACTAAATCTTACTCATGAAATATAACGCTTTCACCTAGGATCTTAAAACTAAACATGTGCATGGCATGCTTGCACCACAATTAGAAAAAAGTTTTCATGTTACTTTGTCAAAGGTAAAGGTATCTATCTTAGTTTTGCTTATCGGGTGAAAGTCGCCAAATGTTCGTATATTCTGCTCATTTCAATGCTGGCAAAGGCACCAGGTGAAGATTTTCTTCACTTTTAGGTTTTCGTGCAATGCTGTATGATAATGCACACTTTGTTTTACTCCGAAACGGGAACTTAAAATAAATGAATGCAGATAAAAAGATAAAAGATTATGTGTAGTTTCCTTGTTTACCGGTTTATTGGTTTTACAGGTAACTTTTCATCCCAGACATTGTCTTAGTCTTAGTCGACCTGGAGAATTAACTGTACCACACCAAAGACCTAACTCTTGGTAAGTTGTAAACCAAAAACAAAGATGCTGACATTGTATTAGTTATACAAAGTTTTTAATTGGCAGCTCAGTTAGATGATTAAGAAGTCGCAAATATGATTTCACTCCAAGACACTTTAATTAACTCATATGAGCAGAATACGCTCTTGCTGAGCTTTTAAAGTAGGCCTCCGTTTAAAATAAAAGTAAAACAAGAATATCTAGAAGTTTGGTATTTGGTATTAGCATTATGTTGGGTTCCTCTACTAAAATTGTTTTAATGATATTCCTCGGCTCAAAATTGACTCTTACGTGGGCATGGCATTTTTAGTTTAGTTTATACTAATTTATTTTAGGTCGATTGTGAAGCAAGTTCTACAACTTATATTAATTACTCTCGACACCTCATTCCTGATGGTATCCATCGCCACGAGGGTATGAGAGAGAAGCCAGTGTAGCTCCCTTTTAATGCTGTCTTTGGTATGACGCGGCCGGGGATCGAACCCACGACCTTCCGCACTCGAAGCGGACGCTCTACCACTAGGCTATCGAGGCGGAGAAATGACATGGAGAAATATAAGTCCAAAGTTATTTAAATATAAACTTTTAAAAGCTCAAGTGAGCATGAAGTGCTCATAGAAAGCTATTGTGACCCGCTTTTGTCAATCGTCGTTTGTTGTCGGTTTAGTACAAAGCCATGCCATTTGATTCAAACTTATCACAGTTTGTAAACTTACAGTTCTAAATAGTTGAAAACTTATTATCGCCTGACACATCATGGCCTAACTTTTAGAGTAGAAATCTGTTTATTTTCAGGATCCAGACAGAGATACCGGTAATAGATCTCGTCGATGCAGAAGAAGACGAAGACATGAATAGAGCGATAGATGCAAGCCTCCTCGACTTGGATGAGGAAGAGTAAGTAAAATAGAACAGAAGAAATAAATTGTGCAAAGCAAAGTTTGGCTGGCTTTCAGGCATGCTTAAAGTGTAAATTTGTTGGATAAATTTTGTAAAACAATATACAAATGTTCTTATATATATGTTCCGGATATAATTTGATCAGTGTTTTGCCATATAGACATAATTCATAGATGCTGCATTACATTTATTGTTAACGTCGCATGGGCAAAAATTCAGGTCATATTGCGACATTTCCTCCAGCTTTTGTGAGTAAGGAAGAACACAGGTGCCTCTTCCTACAAAGTTAACACAAGCGGACACTTCTAGAAAGACAGCTTGCTCGCATGTAAGATATTACATCCAGCGAGGATCTTCCCTACAGTGGTGAGAGGGAAGTAGTTTAGAGTCAGTTACCTTAACCACTCTGCTACATTGGCATCTGGCTTTAAGCCCAAATTCTTGAAGATAAGTTATCAAATAGCATTTAGGTCGCGGTCCATTTTTTAAAACCAAAGTTTCAGAGACAACCACTCCAATCGTAGGAAGACAGGTTGTTTTACATGGAACTTGTGACAGCATATAATACATAACACTACACAAAGATTCTCGTTGTGATCCAAGACATATGGTAACACAAAGGGTCGTCACACTTCCAGTACAGTTTTAGACATTTAAGTAATCACCTTTTGCAATAAATAGCAGATTCCTGTCTTTTGAGTCATTTTCAACGATGTCCGAGTGTTGAAATTTCACATAAAAAGTAAAGCATAGTTTTCACGTGAACAGAGATCAAAATTGATTAAAAATGGTATTGCTATTAAAAGGCCGGGGAATTTTTTCAAGGTCTTCAATTGTACCGGAAAGAACCGTCAACAAAAATTAGTCAGATAGGTTTTTGAGCATAATAAATAATTATGTACAACACTTAAACGGTAAGTGCCCAAGTGGAACATATACACATATGATGCACTACCACAGGTTATTCAGCAACTGGCATTGTATTGTGATGAAACTTTGTTCATTAGTGTTAATATTTTCCTTGACGGTTGTTCAATCATGGTAATTCCTACGTGTACATCGATGTGTCTTTCAGAAAAAAGGTGTCTTCCCTACATGAAGCCCTACATACTTTAAAAGGCCAAGCTGTAGATGAAAGTAAAACAACAAAACTGATAGTATTAAGAAATAATATTTTGAATAGTGCTATCAGGGCAATGGACAAGAAGACAATTAATTTAAGGGGAAAGCTGTACATAAAGTTTTCCGGAGAGATTGGAGAGGACCATGGCGGACCCCGCCGTGAATTTTTCAGGTGATTCAATTTGTTATCTACTAGAATTATGATTCACATCGGATGTTTAAGTCATAAATAGAAAATTTAAGACATGAAGTTTGGAAGAGGGTCAGGTGTGTCTTTCAGTGTATTGTCAATGCTTATTCCTGAAAATCTTTTATTCGGTTTTGATGATATTTCAGAGGAATACTCATTACTTGAAAACTACTGAATATACTTTTATTTACCAGAAATGTAATGTTGCTTGATGAAATTTACCGAATCTCTTAAATGGCTCTGAACACCAAACTCAAAACTAAACATAAACATATTTTTAGAATACAAGAATTCGTCTTTGCCACAAAGAGTCTTACGTCACAGTCGGGTGGTAAGCGAGATTACGATTGGGCAAAACGCAACATTTCCATGCAGTTTCTTTCTAGTTATTCCCCCGGATCGATAGATATGGACATATTGTTTTTGGTCTGTCTTTCAGTCTGTTTGCCACAAAAATTTAACCTTGACCATAACTTGGAGGTCTTAACACTTACAGCCTCAAAACTTCACATATGATGCACCTTGGTGAGCTCTATACCCCAGACCTACTTAGGGGTCACGGGGTCAAAGGTCAAGGTCACCATGACCCTAAATAGATAAATTTAACGTTGGTCATACCATAGACATTCTTTCATCTAAAGCCTTCTTACTTCGCATATGTATGAACAATGATGATCTATACCGGCCAGACCAACTTGGGTCACTGGGTCAAAGGGCAAGGCCATCATGACATTTTCTCCAAAAACTGTAACATTGCTTATTAAATGAAAATGCCTTCCCCTAGGATCTTTAGATTTCCTAAGTAAATGTACATAAATGGTCTACAACCACCTCTATTTTAGGTCACAAGCTCAAAGGTCAAGGTCACTATGACCCTTTTTGCTGAAATTTTAACCTTGATCATTAAATGAAATTGCTTGGACAAAGGATCGTCGATCTTCATGTACATCAATGAGACCTACACCCTTCACGTCAAAGATCAAGGTCACCATGAACTTTACAAAAATCTTTATCCTTTGTCATCAAATGATATTTTTGCCCCTAGAATCTTTAAACGTTATCTGTACATGCACCTGAATGATATATATATATTCACTATCTATTTTTGGGCCAGTGGGTCAAAGTTCAAGGTCTTGATTACATTTTCCATGCTCAACAAATTAATATGCTTCTTTGTAGGAATTTCATCAAAGTCATTATATGTACACACACTTTAATGAGGTCCTCTTCCTTGACCTGTTTTGAGGTCACTAGGTTAAAGGTGCCACCGGGGGCATTTCTCACTAGCAGTGATATTTCTCGTTTTTTGTTAGATTCTACTTCTGTTTTCATAGTAATTTTTCTCCAAATCCTAGTTCCAAGAAGTACTATAGTTATAGTCACGTATTCCAGAGGCCAATAATTTTGAGGTTTTAATAGAATATATCAACCGTGAAACCAGACGTAAGAAGATGATTTTATATAAGTCTTCTGTGAAGACTGGTTTTCATTTCCTTATTTATATTTATAAATAGTGCTCTGTTCATGACATAATGATATCTATAAACATGTATTTTGCATTTACATATTCTATATGTGAATGTACTTGTATATAATATTAGAAATTAATACTGTTTAAAGTACACTTCAAATATGCGTTAGAGAAGAAACATAAGCTCGCATACCAAGGCCCATAACTGTCTTGTATTTCGGCTGAATTATGTACTTTTTGGACTTCGTGCTATCGCCAGAGAATAATTCGTGCGCGTTTTCCCTCCAACAGCTGTTGTTGATTAACATTTTCATTAAAGTATTGATAATGAGCAGGTATATACATGTAATATATGAAAAAAAGAGAAAAAATTCACTTTAAAACTCTTTTGAGGATAAGTATGACTGTACCAATATTTTTATGTTATCAAGTTCAGTTCTATTTTACTTCCATTACAGATGAATTTCATGTACATATATTTACTTTATGTAGGCTGGTCATACACGAGTTAAAGGAATCCAGATACTTTGAAGGCCCCGAAGAAAGCAAGGTGTTCACCCACAATTTAGATCTATTAGAAAAGAGGGATTACCAAATGATTGGGAGAATTGTTGCTTTGGCCCTCCTCCAGGATGGACCGGGCCTTCACTTCCTGAATGAAATAATGTATGACCTCATGGTTGGTGAGACAGCTGCAGACCTAGAAAACAAAAAAATTAGTATGCATGGAGACCTTAACCAGCTAACTCAAGAGGTGAGTACTTCCACTTTACTTAAACTTCAATTTAAGTAAATTAAAAAATTCTAATTTAGGACAATGCTATCACTTGGTTGGCACCTATTTCTGATTTTCAGTTATATGTGCATTAATGCAGAAATCAGAAGAGTGAAAACGGCTCAGTATATATATTTTATATTAACATTTTTAATTTTCCTCAAATCTACAGTCTTTTACTATTGAAACTTAGGCCTGCTTTTACATTACTAAATTACTTTTAGAAAATAACACATTTTGCATTGATGTATCTAGATCTACTTAATTGCTCCCTGTCGGTCCTTCCTTTACCACAGTGTCAGTAGATTTAACAGACCTTGAAAATTCCAGCCTTGGTTAAGACTCCAACCCAGCACCTTTGATTTTAAAGCAAGCATACTAATGACCTTCGTGTTACAACACGAGCAGCATAGCAAGAGAGGCTGGCAAGAAAAGCTAGCCAGACAGTACAAACATTTAATGAAGTCTACCTTCCAACGTAAAGTCAGGTTTAGATTGTAATATTCTTTCTTAAAAGCTGGAAGATGTTGACACTGAAGAAAAAAGAGATCAGTTTCTGTCGGCACATGGAGACAGTCTTCTTGACATGGGATTTAGTAATCCGTATAGTATGAAAAGGGAGAATAAAGGAGAACTGATCTACAAAATAAAGAAGTTCTATCTGTTTTTCAGGTAAATCTTTTATAAAAAATATATTTTCAACTTGCAAGTCTGGAGTCTTAGTAACCTCTCTTACTAAGGGGGATTTGCTTGGGGTCGAAGTAAGGTCACTGTGATCCCTTTAACCTTGCTCATAAAATGATAGTGCCTCCACATACATTAGTGGGAACGACTTATTATCTCGTGGGAACGAGATATTATGTCGTGGGAACGAGATAATTATCTCGTGGGAACGAGATATTATGTCGTGGGAACGACTTATTATCTCGTGGGAACGAGATAATTATCTCGTGGGAACGAGATATTATCTCGTGGGAACGACTTATTATCTCGTGGGAACGAGATAAATAAAGACACCCACATGTCACCTCTGTGCCACCGTACACAAACAAGAAAGAATAACATTGATATAGAAATATTAAAAGTTTATTATTTTTAAAACACAATTTCGAGTAATTAAAAAAAAACTTACCGGGGCCATCATTCGGATATGTCCCCTGTCCTCTTTACTCCAATTACCAACATCTATATAAATTGTCTCAATTACTGTGTCGCGGTGATTCAAGACTTATGATCGGAAAAAATACGATATTTTTCGCAAAGTAAAAATAAGGTTACAGCGTTTCACAATGTTGTCGAGTTGTTACTGAGCTTCTATTGCGTTCTTTTTCATGTTTTTTTATTGCAATTGACCAGCGCACTTAATACATGCCTCCCAAGTAATGTTTAGGGGTATTTTTGAGACCCTATTTGCGATTTTTTAACTTACATGTATAGGTTTTAGCTATCAATGACGAGGCAAAACATATTTTATATAAAAAGTTCTAACTCTATAAACATTATGTAATTTTAAATACAAATGTACCAGTCATGACGGAAATACCATGTAGGTAGGCATTTCCAGTAGTTATTTGCATTAACTTCTTAAATTTTCCAACATTACATATTTACAGGGCCTTATTCAAATATTCAAAGTACGCATGCCAAGTTTCCCGCTGTCACCCAGCTTCGCTCAATCTTTACCGAAATGGGGTACGCATAAGGTATATCCGAGTCAGGATTTGTATACATGTAATATCGGGTAATTAAAGAAATTACTTCTGAAAGTGCCTACCTACTGACGTTTTGGATTAAATTTGGACCGGTAGGCGATAGTAATATAGCTGCCTTTTCTGTTTCAACTGTTTGCGTGCACTGACATTAGTTTGTTATCAAGAAAAAGATCGATTTATGTTCAAAATCGTGTTCTTACGGCCTGGTCGTGCGATGTCCGACTAAACAATAAGTGCATTGTCGCTTTAAAATTCCATCTTTGTCGTACCAACTGGTCATATATTGTACATTGTTCGAAAGAGAAATCATTTCTGAGTAGATTGCACTTCATTTGGTGAAAATTGGTTGACAATTAGTTAAAATAAGGTCTGGTGGTAGCACACAACGACTGCCTGTGGTTAAATATGCACATACTATATAAAAGTCGTGATATTCTTCAGAATTACTATCAGCAAGAACAGTGTGACGACATGATTTTATGATGCCATGAATGACAGCGCATGCTGTAACGCGACATGAAATGATGTAAAAATGATTGAAACCCATTTAAAAGGATGAAAACAATGGAAAATTTGTTTTCTATGAAAGATCAAATTATCATTCATCATGAACATCAGCTCTTATAGTATTACTCGTAGCTGGGCCTCTCGTGAGAATCTTACATTTCGTATTCACTGTGTGAAATTTGTATCGCTTTAACATACAAAACAAACACTTGTTCGTTTTTATTAAATGAGGTTTTTATTATGATTGATTTAAAATGTTATATATTTCCCTATTAAATAATCATTAAATAAAAAGACAAACATGTATATTATGTAATTGTACGTGATTTCAGTATTCAACGGGGCTTTAAGTTAACCCTCCATATAAATTATTTAATGCTTGAATCAGCTTTATCTCAATTATGCAATTGGATTGAATAATTCTCTCAATAACGCAACGTTTGAGTATTTGACTAGTGTGTTTGTCACAGATATTGGTTCGCTTCTGGGATTTTTACACGTGCTGCACTAGATTGAACTGCTGCATTTTTTAGACCTTGACATTATTAGAACTTGATGCGTCTTTAAGATTTACTGCACTACTTGAATTTGTTACGTGTTTTAGGCTTGCTGTGCTTTAGGCTTTCTGTGCCTCTTGTATTTGCTCCGCCTTTAAAACTTGCTTCGATATTTAGACTTGATGCACCTTTTGTAGGGGCTGTACTGTTTGGACTTGCTGATCTTCTTAGACTTGCTTCCTAAATGGAACATGAACCGTATAAATACGAAGTTGAGTCATTATCTTCGTATAATCTATAAAAGATTTAAGATATAGTTAGATATGAGTGCCGGTATGAATGATATGTATTATGAAATCGTTGTTTTGTCAGCATCCCCAAACAAATGAAATTTCTCAAGACAATTTCTTTTCTGTCTTTCTTTCGTCCTTTCTTTTGTACCAGTGGTGTAAACACGATGTTTTGTAGGGATAAAGTTATATAGAATGACTTAAAAACAAATCATTTTAAAATTACTGGCACGAACAAGAGAAAGTACTCGTATAAAGCGATATCAATATGTTTCAGCTTAGCTTTTCAATATGTGATATGTTTATATTAGTTACTTTAACTATCGTCCGAGTTTGGCTAATTTTCCAGTACTTTTCTTGATGTTATGACTGCATCAAAAATATATCTTATATTTCTTGAACATTTTTCTAAATTTTATAGCATTGGAATATCGTGGATCAAAGTAAAAGTTGCAAATTGCGGTTATATAAGATACAAAACTTTATACAGAAATGTATTTAAGTAATAGATAAGATACCTCAAGTCATTTGCAATATATATCATATTGATACAAATATAGCTGAAAAATCTGTTTTTAATGGAGAAAAATAATGCTATTTAAGTTTTAAACAAGATAAGAGCAAATGAACTGTACTTTAGAAGTGTATCCCTAGCATTCAAATGAATTGGGCTATAAAGAAAGTATCAAATGCTGTATCAATTAACCATAGACATATCTATATTCGTAGCAAATTTCTTCCTAATATATCTTTCATTTTTTCTAATATCCTTTAAGAATTGCTTAATATAGCATATAATTTGCGATACAGCATCATACTCTGATATTTATTGAATCAGTTATAATAATTAGCTAAGAGGAAGAATTCTAAATCAATTTATTCTAATCTTAATATGCGTTACCAGAGTGGCGTGATGAAAGATTCTCAACTACTGATAGTCATTGCCCTAGAGGTTATTACAAGTATGTCTTAATGTAATGCCAGCCAATTCGTAAGCAACAGCTCTCACCAAATAATTCAAAAAATACACATGTATAACCACTTAAATTGTTATCTTCAGGATAAGTTTATGGCAATTCAAAAGATAAAGAATATAAAAGAAAACTACTATTATGTGTGTTTGCTTAAACGTGAAACAAAATTAATTACAGCAGGAGTTCAATAAGTCGAAAGTAAATGAATTTCCGTAAAACTTCGAAACATGCGGACTTCCACTCATGTACCATACTTAATTGAAATAACAAAATTTAGAGCCGTCAACGTTTAGTGACTTATTAAATGATTAAGAAATGGAAGGGGGGGCGGGGGGCTAACTTAACCAGCTTATAGAAAATATACTCTGATTTTCTAGCGACACGATGTATCGCACAATCCACTATTACATTTACAACCATTTCAAACAGATTCCCACAAATAGAAACGCATACAAAAGCTTTTTAAGCACACGACTGTGTAATTTAAACCTGTCATACGTTGATTTCGGCAACAATCATCACGGCTAGAAAATGGCTAAAAAGTATCTCGAGATTTAAGGTGTCCACCAATAATCGAATGACTTATTTAAGGTAAATTGTATAAATAGGTTTTAAGAAACATATTTAAGGGAAAAAATTATTTTTACTTTGATATATTGAGAGAATTGATCAATCGAAGTCAATCAGAAGTTCTATTGTATGTAAAATTGCACGTTTTTTTTTTTTTTTTTTTTTTTTTGAACAGCTGTGTTACTAAATGTCTTTGCTTTTATTGTTGGACATAAAAATAATAGTAAGAAGTAACTTACTTAATACAACATCATTATTACTATAATGAGAAAAGAATAGTATTTTTTATTTAAATTCCTTTTATTAACATACAAATGATGTGATTTTGACAATATTGTTTTACAGTCCCGACAAACGGAAAACTAGCACACAATCGCTTGTTCCCTTTTAATGACATTTGATAATCTCGCTTTCAATGTGTTCCAAATATCTTTAACACTTAGCACTTATATTTTGCTGTCTCAAAGGCTTTTGTAATGTACAAGAATTATTAGATACAAAAATGATAAGACCTAATGAATGTCAAAAAGTTTGCTTTTTATCACCAAAGGAATATCATCTGGCATTGCACGTAACAGACATTCTATACATTTTGCGTTTAGTCGTTATACTTACAATGCATGCTTGATACGCAGGCTTAATAACCTCTGATCCCCTTTCAAAATTCCATTTTATTTAGTTCCGCCCATTAATTTCTCGTTTAGGGCACACGCTTTTTCTTACTTGGGGACCATACGCCGCTTTTCATGGAATGGCATGGAAGTGTCACATTGAAAGTTTCATGATAACCGCCGTTTGAACACATCTGGGGATGTTTCTAAATTCAAAATTTTACTCTTTCATGTTTAAATGTTGAATTCTGCTTAAGCCGGGGCTAGGATGCGTGGACGGTAACTTGCACTGTCCAGTACCGTCCATGAACAGGCTCAGTCAAACCGAGCCTGCAACATTTTCAATTTTGCCGTGTTGGGCTTTCTTAAGGGATTCTGTATTTAAAATTTTATCTATTTTATTTTTATATGTCAATAGTGTTACAATTTTATATTAATTTTTGTCCCTAGTGTATTATCCAAACATTATATGACCTGGATGAAAGCGAAGAAATTTGTTTATCAGTTAGGTAGTAATTCATACGATAACAATGGTGCCATTATTCCCTCATGACAATTGATTTATTTTGGTCTAGTCTATCAGGAACTTTCCCTTTATTATCACTTTCATTATCGTTTGATTTTTTGTGGTCAATGGGTTACATAATTATATTGACTTCAATTATATGCCGCATCTAGACATTTTATTTGGAATGACATTCGGACAGCAGAATTGTGACCATACTAATGATGGAAGTGAACAGATGAATTTTAATGTCGTTTAATGAGTCTACATTTACGTTTGAAGTAAAAGAAAATACGTATGTCTATTATTTAATACTAGTAAAAATTGTATTATGATTGTCGTAAAGTTGAAATGTTATGCAATATCTTCTTCGAAATTTGTGAAAACAACTAAAAATGTTTTTTTAGTTTAAGTTTATGATGACACGTGATCGTAAGATGTGTTAATTAGATAACAATGTGTATTATGCTAATTCAAAATAGTCATCTGTGTGTAAAGTGATACGGTCATTTTTAAAGCTAAAATGTCATTAGGTTCAAAGTTGTCTAATAATATATTTACAGATCGCCAAAGTCTGTCTGCCAAAGAAATCGCTCTATTTTCTTTAAATTTTGCCGAACTATTTTCCATACAATGCTAAAACCCAACTGTATGTATGAAATTTATACGTTAAATTAGCCGATTTAATGAACTCCGCCTATTTACATAATGCGCATGCGTACTAATTATTTGTAACGCTTTTCGTTTTTTTTACATTAAACACGTGCTTAAAGTAGCTGCTTTTTATTGCTATGATGATGGAAAAGGTATTTTGTTTAAAACTTTAGGATTTTAACATTCTTTTATGGAGAAATGGCAGGGAATTTGGCCAGAAGGATTAAAAACATTATCATCTTTTAATATGCATAAACAATGAATCCACAGAAACATGTTTAAATCAATAACTTAAAAACAAACTCCATTAAAAAACTTATTGATATATCAGTAATAGAACATGTGCCCATCACAAATCTTTCACAATAAATGGCAGTGTTTGTGACATTAATATTGTCAACGTGATAAAAATACATGTATTATTATAATCACCTGCAGTTAAAAAAAGAGTTAACACTATCAATATTGCACTTCGTTCGCTCGAAAATTGATTTCTTAAAGCTCTGTATATAACCTATAACCTATACTTAATCCCATTCAAGGTAAATTGCCCTGTAGGAAAAGTTTGGTGATATGGATTATAATTTTCACTTTCATGTTATAAAAATGGAGCTTAAATCTTATCATAATTATTGATTGATATCTCATATGGCGCCACTGCAAGAAGACTCTGTAATGTATATTTAAGTAAATAAAGATAATTCCAAATGAAACTAAAAGTAAATACAATTGTCATGGACATTATCGTCCGTAAGTAGATACATGAAATATATTTCATTAAGGAAAGCTTACAGGAGGACGTTTGTTTTGCATGTCCTTGTATGTATACGTGTGTGCTGGTGTTTTCCATTGACTAAAGTGCTATACTTTTGAGTTGACTCCTTACAATGCTTACTGTCAGCAGAGTTGCAATCGCACATATTATTGCTTAGAGTTCAGTTTAATTTGATAGTTTTTGTATACGTATATCATCGCTAACATATTTGACTTTGAATGCTCAGGTAAAAGTCAAAATAGCATTACATGTCGCCATAATTGTGTTCAATTTTATATTTAACAATATCAAAATAGTTATTCATTCACAAGACCAATTGAAATTTCTATAAATATTGTTGGTTAAATTAAAATTAAAAAACTTGGGTAGTCTTTTTAGCTCACCTGTCACAAAGTGGCATCGTGAGCTTTCCTGGTCGTTTTTCGTCCGGCGTCCGTCCGTAAATTTTTACTTTAAACGACATCACCCCATTAGCCGCTAAGCCATGGATGTTCCTTTGGTAGTCAACTTTAAAAAAATTCAAAGAATTATTCCAAGCAGAACTCTGTTTGCCATGGCGACCCCCCAAAAATATTTTCTTTTAGAAAACTTAAAGAGCCAGAGCTGAAATATTTGGCATGAAACATCATCTAGTCAGTGTCTACCAAGTTTATTCAAATAAATGCCCTGGGGTCAAAATCGGCAGCGCCCCGGGGGGCCATTGATTTTCCTTATTTATATATAGTAAAATCTTCTATTAAAAAAAACAAATTGCTAGAGCTTAGATTTTAGGCATGAAACATCCTCTAGGGGGTGTCTACCAAGTTTGTTCAAATAAAAGCCCTGGGGTCAACATTGACCCCTCTGAGGGGAGGGTCATTGTTTTTCCCTTAATGTATAGTAAAAACTTAAAAAATCTTCTTATATAAACCCAAAGAGCTAGAGCTTAGATATGTATCACGAAACATCTTCTAATGGATGTCTACCAAGTTTGTTAAACCTAAAGCCCCTGGTTTAAATTTGGCCTTGGCCTAGGTTCCTATATACAGGTGATCGATTTCGGAGCCATCATGGACCTCTTGTTAACAAATATTTTTCAATATCAATTGTGGATCAATCGCTATACAAATAAACGATCTTTTTAAATACATTACTACTACAGCTCAATATGTCAGCAAAAAAATTCACTTAAATGTTTGTTTTGAATACCACTGACCAATATTATGTTTAATGTCAAATGATATGTTAATGCAGAAAAAGGCAATTTTTTAAGAATGTTTATTCCAGTTTGAAAGCATAGTTTATTGTCGAAACCTGTATCAAGCAGTGTTATGGGACTTGGGCAGTACTGAGGATATTATCTTTTTAGAAAATACATTGTCCAAGGCATAAAAAGCAATTAAAAATCAGAATGCGTTCCTAAATGATAAGAGTACAATGGAGTATATATTCATTGAAAAGTGCAACCAACAATTTAAATCATAAACTTGGTTCCATCCACATCATACTAGTTAGATACATTTGAAAATATTCTGAAATATCTCAAATCCTTCTTTTGAGACACTTCTGTCAAGACAATAATGATGTTTATTCAATTCAATATCAGTGATGTAAAACGTGATTTACGCAGTATCTTTTCTGTAAAAAGTAAGTGTCTAAGTGCAAAAATGTCCACGTCGTAGACATATCCGCGGAATGGTTGGATACATTATTTTCCACATTGTTACATTACATTATAGGCGTGAATGTGTTTCTTTGTATGTGACACATATAGGTAATAAAAAACATAGCCAGGAATCATTTGCTTTGATGATAAATAATAAAGGACGCCTTATTCTGTAACAGTGCTTTAAGAGTGCATGCTATGTAAAATCAAGCTTTTTAAAATTGATTAAAAATAAATTTAAAATAACAGCAAAAACAATGTTTATGGTGAAGTCCCTGGAATACACGTTTTTATGATATTGTTATTAAAAGCTGCTAAAGCAGACGCAGTGTTTTGAAACCCCTTTTTTGCAGGTATTTTTGCCAGATAGATAAAATGTGATATTCAATGTTTAGGTTTACTGTAGGTTTTTATTTCTAAAAGAATGAATTGCTGCATTTTCTACTATTGTAAATTGGATAATTTCTCTAGAGCTATTGCTATGTTATGGCGTATATTTATTCAACAAAACATTTTTTATTTCCGCAGACTGTTTATTTTGGAAGACGTTTGACGGCAGAAACTTTTAATATAGTGTGTAGTGCTACAATATACCATACACTTACATGTGCTGATGTACGTGAAACTTCTTACATAAATGATATTTATATTTTATCATATATGTACAATATAAAGGTTTCACTTTACTAATCTATCAAAACATCACCAGGGTTTTTATAAATAATTGTTACATAGTGTTGAAGAACATATCTTTAGTACATTACAAAAACAATGTTTTATATAAGCATATTATTATTGTATACAAAACAGTATGCCGATAGCCACAGATATTTAGTGGTGCATAATTTAGTGTTGCCAAAAATTTACTTGTATTTCCAGTTAATTTCCTGGTTTTGATTTTTTACGGATAAAATGAAAGGATACAGAGAATCTTGTGGTTCATGTAGGTCTAACTTTGAATAATTGTTTGATTTAGGATCCCTAATTATTGAACGGGACATGGTGTTCGCTTTCGAGTTGGGAAATACGCAATTCAAAATTTCTCAGGGATGGCTCAGGGATGGCTTCAGTCTTTTGTTAAAAGGCCTAAAGTATCTGTATTTATTTTTTTAATGTCAATGAAAAAAGAAAATGTAGTCATGCTCTTATGTCGATTGTTGCACTTTAGCATACAATGCAGACGATTTAATCTGAAAATAATTGAAATGGGGATTCTAAGATAAAGTCCGAGTAAATTATTTTTGTATGTCATCTCACATGTGTGAAATTTAACAATTTCTGAAATTTGCCATACGTCAAAAATAAACTTAATAAACTGTATCACAAAATAATGTTATGCTTTTCAGGCGATGACTGCAGTGCTGGTAAACGATCTTAGGAATGCATAACTGTGGCTCTTGCAGCAAGAATGACAGGGAAGAGTTGAATCCTTTGGTTATTGCTAAATCAAGTAAACCAAGAATTTTCAAAAATATCAAAGTAGAAAATTCTTCTGTTTTTAGACAACGCCCCTAGTCATCCAATGTTGAAGTTATCAAATGTAAAGCTGGCCTTCTTTTCACCTAATACTACCTCCAGACTTCAACCTTTGGATCAGGGGGTTATACAAACACTCAAGTTGAAATATCGTCAGAAGCAGTTGCAACATATTCTTGTAAAAGTTGATGACAGCAACAAGGTTGGTTCACAGTTATTGAAAAAAATCTCAGTCCTAGATGCAATTTTCTGGATTGATGCAGCCTTGGAAGACATTGAAGCAAAGACTATTGTAAAATGTTTTGAACTTTCTGGTTTATCTTCCCTTCTAAATCAGTTAAGTCTGTAAACGCTGATGAAATCATGGCAGTGATGATGATGATGAAGTCCCATTGAATGTCCTGAAACTATCTCACGATTTATTTGGTTGTTAATTTAAGGACTTGATTAACTTAGATGTAACCTTAAGAACTTGCGATGATTCTAATAAAACAGACTGGGAGAGAACACAAGCTTTAGACATTCTGAAAGAATTGAGAGATGATAATATTGATGATCTTTGTGATGATGCTTTTGATGATGATGATGAAGATGATGTTGATTATGCTGATGATTTGAAAGTATGGTCAACAGGAGATGTGCATAAACATATTAACAATATAAGACAATATGCTTTGTTTCATGATCACCATGACCTGCTTGATAGTATTATGTGCGTAGGTCATATTTTCACACACATTTCTACTACAAAACAAAAACAAACACGAATTGATGACTTTTTATGAAGGTATAATTGGGATTATGAGAGTGAAATACATACATGATATAGTATACTATTTTTGTTATTATAAAACATGTTATGATATCAATGACTTTAAGTATTTATATGAAACCTTGTATTTAATCTCGATATTTTCCTGAATTCTATTGAGAGATCATTTTACTAAGGCAGTCCCTTGAGTGGTCTCTTAAAACAATTTTTACTGTACTGCCTTTAGTAATAATTACCATGATTAAGTGTTTAAATACAAGCATACACTGATAGCAAAGATCCAGCTAAAAATATTATTTTCAAACCAAGTTATGCTGAAAAATTTGTTACAAAACAAAAGGAAATTAAACCATAAGCCTTCGTTAAAAAGATGATATAGATAACTTTAAAATTAATCCAGACAGTATCCTTCAAAATGACGATGAGGATGTTCCATTTTGGAATTATATAATTCTCCGAAAATAAATATTAACCTTTTAAATATAAAAAAGTCATCAAATTAACCTGAACATTTCAAAGAGAAGTTTCTAGCAATTAAGGAAGAACATGAAGATTTTATACATATTTATACGGACAGTTCAAAAGAAGTTTGCAAAGTAGGTGCGGCTGTGTTTGAAAATAATTTTACATCTAGTATGAGGTTACCAGATAGTGCATCAAATTTTACTGCTGAAGCAAAAGTACAGATTTAGCATTGTCATACATAGAAAAGCATACCTATGATATTTTTTTTGATATTTTCTGACTAGCTTTATTTTTTAATATCCATTAAAAATTAAAAATCTGACAATATGATAAGGAAATTTTTTTACGATTTCATGAAATACTTAAAACAAAATCTGTTAAAGTATATTGGATCCCAAATCATGTAGGTATACGAGGAAAGGAGAACGTTGATGCTTTAGCTAAACAACTATTAAATTTTCATAAAACTTACTTATTTTTAACTGCTTGTGATTTTAGACCAGCTGTAAATAAACTCGTATCATCGAAATGGAAAGCAAATTTGGACAATGCCGTTTTATTTTCGATCCTTGAAGATCGTTCAGCACGACATTATTGTTGTGCTTGTGGTATTTTTAGTTTCAACTTTTCGGCATTTTCTAGTTGGGTGGTTCCAATATTCCTACTTGAATAATGTTAAATCACCCCTAGGATATGTTGCCTGCTTTTTAAATTTGTCTTTTGACGTCTTATCTGTGATACGCAGGCTTCATAACCTCTGATCTCCTTTCAAAATTCCATTTTATTTAGTTCCGCCCATTGTTTTTTCGTTTAGGGCACACGCTTTTTATTACTTGGGGACCATACGCCGCTTTTCATGGAATGGCACGGAAGTGTCACATTGAAGGTTCCATGATAACCGCCGTATGAACACATCTGCGGATGTTTCTAAATTCAAAATTTTACTATTTCATGTTTAAATGTTGAATTCTGCTTAAGCCGGTGCTAGGGGGCGTGGACGGCTCAATCAAACCGAGTCTGCAACATTTTCAATTTTGCCGTGTTGGGCTTTCTTTAGGGATTCTGTATTTATCTATTTAATAAACTTCACGATATAAACCCATCTCTTGATATGTCACCATCTCTTTATCTGTCAAACCGCCATGATCGAACAGTTCTTCTTCGATGCCGAATTGGACACATTAAAATTAACCACTTTTATTTCCTCACGAATGACAATGCCCCTTTCTGTGTAGCTTGTAATGACAATTTTACTGTTAAGCATTTTCTTCTTGAATGTCATGATTTTTCACAGGCCCGTAATAGATTTTACTGTGTAAATTCACTCAAAAAACTCTTTAATACAATTCTATAAAAAATATCATTGAATATTTGAAAGAGATAACTTGTATTCTAGGATCTAATTGGCTCATTTTTATTGTCATTTACAAAGTTTTACATAACACTTTAAGACAATTATAGCATTCGGCACGATATGGCTAGTTATGTGTTGACATGCCGTAAAAATCCAAACAAGCAAACAAGCATACACTCTATGGTGATCTGTGTCCATATTTATTGACATTAAGAATATTTAATTTATTGTACATGCTCACAGACTTGTGCTCATAAGTAAAGTAATAAATTAGATTGATTAACTTTCAAACTTTTCATGTAAATGATCTTTTAAAGTTTAGGACTGTTGATGTCATTAGACTTTCTTCTAGATAAGGAAAATATGCTTCCGAGAGAATATTCGTAGACAATACAATGCAAGCCATCCTAAATGTTTAACTACGTGTATTACAAAATAAAGGAAACAAACAATTGCAATACCTTGAATAAAGTATACAGTTTAATAATACTCTTTTTACATTAGTATAAATATAAATGTTTCATTCCTTCCTATAATTACTACAAATGCAATAAAGAAGCTTAGAAAAAATCGTGTTAGAATGTGTGTAAAATAGGTTAACTTTATGCCTTTCTATCTTTTCTTTAAATTATTCCTATAGCCTCATTTTATGTTAATACGATAAAAGGCGGTAAAATCATCAATGTATTACTATTAAAAAGACCTATATAATAACTTTAAGCGTTTTGTTGACAAGTGTTACCGTTAACCTGAATATAATTATGAATTTGTCTTTCTTTGGATTTGGAGCAGTCCATTCAAGCTTAAAGAATTAGTATATCAACATACAATCTGTTAACTACTAAAAGTGGTAGAGCCTGTCATGCTACACGACTTGCAGGATTGCCAGACTACTGATGGCAAATGCTTATCAAGTAAATTACGTTCCGGGGTAGGTGAGGTGGCTTGATTGTCGCGGCATACATCGGTGACTGCACATAATACATTGTCTTCTTATGAGCTTATTAATCTCAATATGTCATATGACCTGAACAAAGTTACAAGATCAGTCTTTTTCCCTTTTACTGTTGTCGAAAGTATTTTACATGCATTTTCAATTGTTTCGACCCTATACTTTGGAATTTACATTTTGTTTGCTAGAAATTACAAGCAAACACCGACATCATATTTATTTGGAGAAAAACAATATTATCTTGCTTTGGTACGTTGTAAACGTCTTCTTCTGTTTGGACACTTTCTTGTTTTAGACTCTTTTCTATTGGTACCATATTGACAATTGCTATAGCGACAGACAAGTATTCAGGCTTAAATAAGAAATACTTAACAGTCTGTTTGACCATTATTTTGTATCTTTGTTTTAGTAATAACATCTATTTGTGTATTGGGTCGTTGAGGACCATACTGGAAACATAATTGTTATTGATTTATTTTGATATCGCATTTTTAAAGTTCGCAAAGTGTAAATAATTATCTCATTGCGGAAATAACTACAACATATTTAATTTAATACAACAATCTTTCTGAAAGATATAATGGATTTTTTATTTCAGGGGGGATCGAGAATCTTCAAGATCACTTAGTACACCAAAAAATGACTTAATGTATTTGAGCTTTATTATCTCCGAGAAGGCATCCTTCCGCTTAATTTAATATACTCAATTAGTGATATTCAATTTCCAGACGTGCATTGAATGAAATAACTGATAAAAGGTGTTCCCATACTCTTCTCTATTATTTTTTGCAGAATTTACGTATAATATCTTTTTGGGGCTGAGGAAAAGAAATAAAAGCGTTCTTTGTCGTCATTTATTCATACGTGAAACAGAATTAGACTTTTAACAACTGCCGTAACGAGTATACAACGTAATCGAAGATGATAACAATAAGTTTTCTCGCGAGACAATATGCATTTGTCAGAGACGAGAACTCAAACTGGTTAATATAACGAAGAAAATGTATATGTGATCATAAAATGTTACCAAATAGCTAAGCTAAGAATTATCGAAATTCCAAAATTCCATTCTTGTACCAGTGACATAATATTATATTTCTGATCAATTTTGCAGATTTTCTGATTCTTTGATTAAAAGCTCTTTTCCCTATATATGTACTAATACTAAAAATCAAACAACAAAGTTCACTAATTGAAAATTTGTTAGAACTCTGAAATGTACCATAGTCATTAAAACAAGAATTTGTAACAGAGTTACCAACGTCCCCCGCCTCGGGAAGTTTTATATGAAGCATAAAATTGTGCTATTTCAAAAGATTGAGGTTATAATGGATCTCAGGACATTTACTCCAAAATTATGATCAATGCTAGATCTGCAAATGTAACAATAAATTTGTTAAAAAAATAAAATGAAACACGGAATTTAAAAATCTATCATGTTAAGCTTTGACCTCTTAGTGTGACCTTGACCTTGGAGGTAGAGAGCAGGTGTTGTGCATGACATAACGTCTTATTATTGAGACTATTTGTGCCAAGTATTTTCAAAATCCCTTGAACTATGAAGAAGTTATAGATTGGACACAAAATATACCCTTATAATAACAGACTATGTAAATCTTTGATCTCTAAGTGTGACCTTGACCTTGGAGGTAGGGACACAGATGTTACGCATGACATATCATCTAATCATTGTGACTATTTGTCCCAAGTATTTTCAAAATCCCTTAATCTATGAAGAAGTAATGGACGGGACAAAAAATATACCAAATAACAGACTCTGTTTAACCTTTGACCTCTAAGTGTGACATTTACCTTGGATGTAGGGGTGCAGGTGTTGTACCTTACATATTGTTTTATTATGGTGACTATTTGTGCCAAGTTATTTCAAAATCCCTTGAACTATGAAGAAGTTCTAGATTTGACACAAAAATATACCCTATAACAGACTATGTTAATTTTTGACCTCTAAGTGTGACCTTGACCTTGGAGGTAGGGATGCAGGTGTTGCGGCATGACACATCCTCTTATTATAAGTGACTTTTTGTGCGAAGTATTTTCAAAATCCTTGGATCTATGAAAAAGTTATGGACCGGACACGAAATATACCCTGTAACAGACTATTTAAGTATTTGACCTCCAAGTGTGACCTAGACCTTGGAGGTAGGTGACCGTTTTTTGCGCATGACACATCATTTGATTGTTGTGAACAATTATGGCAAGTATTTACAAAATCCCTTCATAGATAAGAAAGTTATGGACCGGACACGACATATACCCTCAAATAGACAATGTTGACCTGGAATGAGCAAGTACGACCTTGACCCTGGAGGTAGGGGTCTGGTTGTTGCGCATGACACATCGTCTTATTATAACAAACATTTGTGCCAAGTTATCTCAAATTCCTTTGATAAATGACCAAGTTATAAACCGGACACGAAATATACCCTGTAACAGACTATGTTAATATTTGACCTCCAAGTGTGACCTTGACCTTGAAGATAGGTGACTGGTTTTTGCGCATGACACATCGTCTGATTATTATGAATTATGGCAAGTATTTACAAAATCCCTTCATAGATAAGAAAGTTATGGACGGGACACGACATATATCCTCAAATAGACAATGTTAACCTTGAATGAGCAAGTACGACCTTGACCCTGAAGGTACGGGTCTGGTTGTTGTGCATGACACATCCTCTTGTTATAACAAACATTTGTGCCAAGTTATTTCAAATTCCTTTGATAAATGACCAAGTTATAAACCGGACACGAAATATACCCTGTAACAGACTATGTTAATATTTGACCTCCAAGTGTGACCTTGACCTTGAAGGTAGGTGACTGGTTTTTGCGCATGTCACATCGTCTGATTATTGTGAACAATTATGGCAAGTATTTACAAAATCCCTTCATAGATAAGAAAGTTATGGACCGGACACGACATATACCCTCAAATAGGCAATGTTGACCTTGAATGAGCAAGTGCGACCTTGACCCTGGAGGTAGGAGTCTGGTTGTTGCGCATGACACATCGTCTTATTATAATAAACATTTGTGCCAAGTTATTTCAAATTCCTTTCATAAATGACAAAGTTATGGACCGGACACGAAAGTGTGACGGACGGACAGACAGACAGACAGACGGACGGACGGACGGACAGACGGACGGACGGAGCCTATTTCTATATCCCCCTTTTTTCTTCGAAAAGGCGGGGGACAATTAAATAATAATGCATTATTTGGATTTGGAAGCAGCTTCAAACTGTTAAGTTAGATTAACTAAATTACTGACACTGCAAGATATACGCCTACAAAATGGAACGATATACAACTGATTTGACAGTAGCTGAAATGTGTAATAATTATACATGTATATGTATGTTATGATGATTGGTTTTGAGCCCAAGTCAGAAATAAAGTATATTTTCTGTTCTGTGTTTTTTTTCTGTTTCTGTAGTAATTTGTTGCTGCTGTGTATTATTTATCTTATTTTATGTTTTAAACTTTTATTTTTCTCATTATCTAAGAAAATATATGTAGATCTATTTCTATATTTTTGAATCAGTTGAATGTGTTACTTGAGAAAACTTTTGTTATATGGCGAAAACTAGACATTTGTAAACTTATGTATATTAACCGTTAGACCTGATTAAAACGTTTAAGAAAATATGTAGCCAATCCTTCAAAATAGTTTAACATGACATTCTTTGGCTGTGGTAATTTGATACTATTGTTCTGCCTTTATTATTTCCTTTTTCTTCGATGTTTAGATACTGTTTATAATATAAATAAGAACATGCTTCTGGTTTCTTCTAATTTTTACATGACTTTTAACAGATTTAGCCTCAGCTTTCTTATTTCCCGCACATAGTTTTCTTGATAAAATCTGATACATTCATAGCTTGCCATGGACTGTTATAAAATAGCAATGTCCTTGATGAAATGAGCTTCATGTTCAGTTCTAATGGTAAGTGTAGTATCTTCAAGCACTAAAATATTATTGACTGGCTTAATAACTAAATTGTTTACGAATGTTTATTATAATTTTGTTTTTATTTTGGAATAATATTTTGTTATATAAAAAGATTCACATATTGTTAACAATCTTACATAAACTGTTTTACTTTATTTATTAAATAAACAAAATTTTGTTTTCTTTAATTATTTCAATGTTTACATTGAACCATTAAATTAAGCCACATTTTATTTACCAGAGCACAGTTCTGCCACCGCAACGTTTAAAGTTTCACTCCGAACTAAACATTTTGGGAAGAAAGGAAAGAAGGAACGTAGCTGCCGTATATATTATAAATACTCATATTATATCCCAACATTAAACATTGACCTGCACCTTAGAGATCTTTAAAAGCAAACCCTTACTATTGCGGAAAAAAACAACACTATAATACCTTAACGAAGATAACACTCCTTAATTTTAACTATCAGTTTGTTTTGCGTGTTAAATATTGACAGTATCAATACCATTCAAACTTTATTTCCGTGTAATTATAACGTTTTCGTTTCCTGAAAATAAAAATTGATATTTATATGAAATACTTCTAAATATTCCCAGATGCTTTATTTTATGGTTCGGTGCCCTACTTGGTTCTTTACTTGTGAAGCAGGATTGTGTTAGGTGCTGTGTCCTGTCAATGTCATCATGTTGATCTTTTGTTTCATTATTTTATGAAACTGCATTCGTTCGTTCATTTATTCATATAAATAATTGACTGTGCAACTGACTGCAATGTACTGAGAATTAATATCGTGGAATCAGGCTAAAATTCAACAACTACTGTGCAGATTTAAAAACAGACATTCGCCTAGGTAGCATTTCATTCGGTTCTTCTAAAGATATGTCCTGCACAGCTGACCATTCCTTCACAGCCATTTTATACGTGCGTCAAACCTCCAATGTCTTCCATTGTAGTTTTGTTATTATAATGTTTAACGAAAGGAGGACGTTCATTTGTTTACATTTCTGGCTATAATTGCTTTGTTATGGCTAGGTCACCAGCCAAGTGTTTTTTAACTACTTTTAATACAAACAAGAATAAACTGTTATTACACGTAATTTCTATCTAGTTTTCCCCCAAAGTCTTGCTCTTAATTTAGGATGAATTTTGTGCACAATAGATTAAAAGAATCGGCTAATTTATGTCGTTGACGAAGCTATCAATTTTTAATTTGTTATATACTTTTGTTAAACTATACCGTAGAAATGATTAAAAATCTAGAATGTTCAGCTCCAACGAACTTGTGGTAAGAATAAAACTGTTAAAATTCAAAAACAAAATACATTATAGGAAAAGAAATGATATCAATATTGACAAAGAAAAAGTAATAATTGCATTTGAATTGACATATTAACATATCTCATCTATGGTATTGTGTATTTGTCCTACATAAGTTTATACAGAATTCATTTTAGTTCCATTATATAGGAAGCTAATAGCTTATAGACATACTCTCGAATCCGTTTCTGGAACCAACAAGTACTGGGCAATGAGTGCAAAGTTTCTTGCTCAAGAAAACAGCAGCCCTCACCAGACAGGGTTTAAAAACCACACGGAAAGCGACAGTAAGATTACAAGTCCGACGCTTAACATCATGCCTACATTATTTAAC